CTATGTATAAATCTAATAAAATATCTGGAATCTGTATGTTGAAAACTTTGAAGTACTTGTGAAAGAAATCAAAGACCAAAATAAATTGAGAACATACCATGTTTATGAATTGCCAGATGATGTAATTAAGATGTTGGTTAAATGAACTATAGATCTAATTTAATTCCAATTAAATTCCTAGGAAGTTTTTTTTTCAATAGAAACAAGCCAATTCTAAAATTTGTATGGAAAGGAAAAGGAAACAGAATATCTAAGACAATTTTGAAAGTTAGAACCAAGTCAGGGAGACTTAACACTATTCAATTTTATTACTTACATAAAAGCTATAGTAATCAAGACAATAAGGTAGTGACAGAATAGATAAATCAATGCACAGAATATATGTTCAGAAATAGAAAGATAATGGGCAAAATTTTTCTTTGCCAAGATTCAACGCTAATTCAATTGAGAAAAGATAGTCTTTGTGCTATAGTTGAGTCTGTTGCCCAAGAATCAAATGTTGGAAGCTAATACAAAAAAAAAAAAAAAAACCAAAAAACAAAAAACAAAAAACCTGGTCATGAATGTTCATAGCAGTCTATTTATAACTACTAAAACCTGGAAACAACCTAAAATGTTTTTCAKCAGGTAGTATATAAACACTAATATATCCATCCATTGGAATACTGCTTAGCAATAAAAAGAAATAAACTATTGATATGTGTAACGACATGGACAGATCTCAAAGGTAGGATGCCACATGAAAGAAGAAGTCATCAAAATATATACTGTATAATTCCACATATATTACTTTCTGGAAAAGGCAAACAAGGACAGGACCAAGTCGGGTTAGGGTTGAGCAAATGATTGATCATGAAGGAGCAGAATACTCAGGGAATACTCAGGCTGTTAGAAGTGCTCTACATCCTGATTATGATGGTGGTTACGTAAATCTATATTGTTTTAAAACTCAGGAATGTGCATGGAAAAGGTTTTACTATATGTACATTTAAAAAATGTTTTAATTTAAAAGCTCATAAGTAAATTCAATAGATTCTATTTTCAAAATCCAATGGCATGTTTTTTCTTAGCATTTTCACATTTCTTATTTGGTTCTTTCCATTGATTTGTGAAGAGGCAGAACAGTGAATAAATTTGGGGAGCAGGGGTTATGGCTCAGTGGTAGCGTGCTTGGGTAGCATGCGTGAAGCACTGGGTTCTATTCTGAGCATCACATACAAATAAATAAAGGTCCATCAACAACTAAAAAATATTTTTTTTAAAAAAGAAAGAAATTCGGACTAACCTAATTTTTCTGAGTGTGTGAGGCATCTATCCTTGTTTCTGAGGGCCTAAGTATTGCMTGCCAAGTATTGAACAGAGGAAGAAAATAAGAATAGCAGAGATCATAAACGGGCTGCTTAAAGCTGAATATGACATTTTGTGTGGCCCACACAATTTTTGAAATTTGAAGTTGACAACATTTGAAATTTACAAGATTTTTCCAAAATTTGGCAATTTGGTTTCTAATGAACAAGTACTTTACTTTTAAAAACATAGTGTTTCATAATTCTTAATCACTGCTTTATGTGCCAGTATGTTGCAGTAATTCACTTGCAGGTCAGCATGGGAAAAGAAAGAAGAAGCAGAGCAAGCGAAGCAGCAGCAGAAAAAAAAGTCCTTTATTGTGTACAAGCAATTTTTTTATAGTATTGTGAACAAAGAAGGCAGCTTTCCAACTTCAATAAATCAGGTCTTTCAGCTAATTAAACATAGCATACAGAAGTTTTACTTTCTAATCAGAAGTGACTCGCTTCTCATGGCTAATCTATTCTCGGCCCGGAGTATGTTGAGCTCTGCTCTTTGTTAAGAACAGAAAATAAAATTTTTTCTCAGCGCCCTCCTAGCCCACTTGGCAGAACATCCTGTTTGCAGGCAAGTCCTCCCAAGGACAGCAGACACCTCGTTTTCAAGCATGTCCGCTGTTACCTATCTATACTTTGACAGAATATCCTGTTTGCAGGCAGACTCCATCAAGGACAGTAATAGTAACGCAGTTACATCTTATTCTCTACACCAGTATCTCTATTTTATGGTTGGGAACAAAGAAGGTGACTTCCAAGATTATATAGCTAATGAGTGGCAGAGTCAGAATTTAAATCCAGATGATCTAATTTCAAAATTTATGCTCATACTGCAATTCTAACCTGCCTCCTTTTGGTAGGCTGGCCTGGAAACAGGAGGCCAGAATTAGAGGCTTTCAGTTCACTGTTCGTTTGCTTTTCTGTCTTCAAAGTTGGCACCTTTACTCCATAGTTACCTATCTAGTAGGTATATTAAATTGCCTTCCCTACACTGAATAACCTGCCCAAAGTCACATGCTGTCAGCAAAGTTCTGAATCCTGATCTTCTGATTTGTTGACAATTTCACTAGAGATTTAAAGTATCTATGTATGTATATTTACAGGCACACACAAACTCCTCCCTGTACAAAGTTCTAACCATATAATTACTAAGTTTGATCCTGTAGTATCATATTCTCTCCTTCTAGGATTTATTCTTAGTTTCTCCTTTTATTCTGTGCAAAGGACTCTAATACCCTTCTGATTTTCAGCCCCTTTTCTCTGAATTACCTATCCTTTACTATCATTTACATATTTTCCTGACCCACCTGAAATGAACTCAATTTCCCCAAACTAAGTATCTAATATTATGAAGGAGTGATTGGAGGATAGGAGACCAGTTATGACATGTCTGCAGCAGCCTCTCCAAGGTGAGGAAGGTCTAACTGGAGGATGGTGATGGAAACTGAAGGGAAGTAGCAGGAACGTTTTTTTGAGTGAGGGAGAATTCTGTCCCTAACCACAGATGGGTGATGAAAGACTTGAAAGATGTTGAAATGGCTTAAAATTTTGGGGGAGGGTAGGGACCAGCAGAAATTGAAAAACGAGGCAAGAGGGTGGCAAGAATGAGTACAAGGGCTAGGAGAAAAATCTTTTTGGGAGATGACCCATTTAGTTTCAAATAACTGAGTTTGAACCAATGTCAAGGCATGTAAACAGAGATGGCTTACAGGCAGCTGGAGATTGTGAGCTATCGCCTCCAGAGTAGAAAATAGAAATCTGACCGCTACCAACTTGGAAATGGTCATTAAAACTTTGAGACAGACATGAATGGCAGTGGGAATAGGGACTGAAAAGGAACATCAGAGTTTTAGCTGGACCTTAGAGATACATTTGGTCTAGTAGTTTTATATTTTGTCTTGTTTCAAAGATAATATAAAACAACATGGAAAGGGAGGCAGAGCTGCTGCACTTGAAGGTTCAGAAAGTAGAGCAGGGGCAAGGAGAGTTGCACAGTCTTTTGGCCTCCTAAGTCCTTTCCTGTACAGGTGATGAAAGTTCACAAGGTGAAATGATTGGCCTTGGTATTAACATCAAATCAGGATCACAGTCAGAGCTAGAACCCAATGCCTAACTTTCCCATTATGCCCAGATAATTTGAAAGAAAACTTTAAAAAACACTTTTTTAAAAAAAAAATTTCTTTTTTTTCTTTAAGCTGCAGAAAACCTATAATTGCTATGTATTCCCCCTCAACTTTTTATTATCAAAGTTTAAAATTTTTAAACTTTACTAAGTTTTGTGAACAGCTATATATCCTCCTCCTAGATTTAGCAACTAACGTTTTGCCATTTTTGTCTTATACATATTTCCTAAAAGCTGGCCATTTTCACTTAATATTCTGACACTTCACCCTTAACTATTTCTGCATGCCTTACCTAAGAGTAGTGACATTATCTGGCATGATTGTCATACCATATTAAATATAAAACCCCCCAAATATAGCATCAAATGTCAGTTCACATTTAAGTGTTCCTAATTGTTCCCAAAATGTTTTTATAGTGTTCTTTGAAAACTCAGGATCTGTTTTAATATAATTTAAATGAGTCCAAGTCATTAGAAAAGAAAGTTCAAAATTTATTTATTKATTTTGATCTGCAAATCTGACAAGTCACGAAAACACAATTAAAAAGCAATGTAGCAGGACTGGGGTTGTGGCTCAGTGGTAGATCATCTGTCAAGCACATGTGAAGCACTGGGTTCGAGCCTCGACACTACATAATAAATAAAATAAAGTTGTAAAAAAAAAAAACCCACCTTATTTCCTTAAAAAAAAAAAAAAAGCAATGTAACAAATATAAATTCTAATCCTAAAACAGAATTTTAGCAAGCGGTTTTCCGAATGTTAGGGATCTTATATGTTGCACAGGATAATGAGTCTGAACCCTCAATATCTCTTTTCCCATTCCTCTTTAGGTAGCAGCCTTGTAGTTCAGTTCTAAATCAACCAATGTCTTTCCACCCCGGTCACAGAGATTTGTTCACGTGGCTCAAATCAATCAGCACAAGGAATTACCCAGGGCCACAGAGGTTCCAACTAGCAAGGAGTTCAGACCCTGGCCAAGAACTGGCAAACATTCCAAATCAGGCTTTCCCACCACAGAAAGCCCGCTTACGAGAAACATTTACCAGCACACTGCCATGATTTAGGTTGCCCCTCTTTGCCCTTTGCCTTAGGAGACGTTCAACTTTCCGGCCTGTGTGGTAATTAACCATTTCTTGTTGGTCCAGGCTAGTGCAAAGAGCGAGCCATTAGTAGGGGTTTGAGGTGTGTGTACCTGCGCGCTTGCTTTGCAATCTCAAAGAACTGGGTTCCATCCCCAGAACCGCCAAAGAAAAAAGAAACAGGAAAACCAACAAAAGAACAACGAAAAAAACCCAGGAGCCTGTCGTGGCGTGGTAGCTCACGCCTGTAATCCAAAAGGCTCAAGACCCTGAGGCAGGAGGATCACAGTCCAAAGCCAGGCTCAGAAACTTGGAACCCCAGTTACCCCGGTCTCCGGAAAATACACGACAAACAACCAAAAGAACCTGAGCGGTTTGAAGAAGACTGAGAGAAACCCGCCTCGTCGCCGGCCCAGATGAGGGGAGGGGGCGGAGCCTTTGACGCCGTGGCTCCGCCCCCGCGTACGTGGCTTCGCCCCCGCGCACCGACGCAGTCCGCCCGACCCTTGCTCTTCCGCGCTGCAGATGGTGCTTCCAGGGAGAGCCATGGCTAGTAAGTGAGGTGGCGGGGCTGATAGCCACCGCTGGGCCAGAGCAGAGGCTTGGTGCGGTACTGGCGAGAATCAGCCACTTCAGTCCCTCGCCCCCTTGCGCCTGCGGCCTTCGGGTCGCAGGTGTTGGTCAGCTCAGGTGAAGGTCGGCGTGGGCCGCGGAATTGCTGAGGAGCGGCTAGTGCGTTCCCTGGGATTCCGAGGGCTCCGCTTCCTGCCGCTCTCGCCTCCTGGCGGACAGAGGCTGACCCTCTTGTAGTTCTCGGTGGTGTAGGTAGTGTGTAGTGTTTCAAGTTTCGTCGCCCCACTCCTACCCCGACACAAAACGGTGCCCAGGTGATTCTTCCTCCCCATCGTCCTTTACAGAGTCATTTATTTGTTGAGCTTTCCCTCTGCAAGCTTCTTGTTACCTCACAAGTGTAAAAGACTTGGCATATTCCTTTAAATGTTATTCGCATGTTGATACCTTCAATTAAGATATTCTGTTATTTTTTCATGCTTGATTTGTCAGATTATAATGAATGTTAGGCAACCAAGGGTCCTATAAGTAATTTTTCCCTTCACTTTGCAGAAGAGCAGATGATGTGATTCGTATCTTGTCCTCAGCATGGAGGATCTCGACAGTGGYGGAGATCCACTGCTGCAGCCCTCTGCAGAGTGGGATTTGCAGAATGTTAGGCAGACCCCTGCCCTGATTGTGAGATGGGAGAGAGAGGAAGCCACCAACATTGCCATGTTTTCCTCCGCTCAGAGGCAGAGACAAAGCTCAGCTTCTGGATTTTAGGGGAGACCTTTACTGGGTTTGTGTSGTGTTTTGGTAACAGCTTAAAGTATCTCTTTGCCCTGAAGTAATGTCAACTTTTGCTTCCTGTTTTAGAAACTTTGTTTTTATCCAGATTCTGAAACTGAATAACAAATTGCATTTAGGGTTAAATTTAGCTCTTTTCTCTTATATTAAAGATTAAATCAAGGAATGTGACATCAGAATTGTCCTACTTTTAGGGTTAACCTTGAGGCAAATAGGCCTTCATCAGTGTTAATAATCTAATCCATTAGATTGTCAGTAGTTGTGTCAATTAAAAATATCTCCAGACATTGCAAGATGCTCTCTGAGAATCATCAGTTCTATATGAATTTAGTGGTCAGATCTTCTGACATATGTTTTGTCTTTGTCCCCAGCTTTCCGCTTGGCCCTCATCCAGCTTCAAGTTTCTTCCATCAAATCAGATAATGTCATTCGAGCTTGTAGCCTTGTCAGGGAGGCAGCAAAGCAAGGAGCCAAAATAGTTTCTCTGCCAGTAAGTATAGAGGCACCCATTCCTTTCTGCTGTAGATGCAGCAGAATAGTGTTTGCTAGGTCTAATTGTCCTTTTATGTTCCAAGTTCAGCAATGTCTTTTGGAGCTTCAATATTGTTACATGTTTGTGTCATCTTTGTCTATCACAAAAGATCTTAGCAAGGATTTTTTGTCATAGAATTTACTAACATGTTTCCAGGTCTTCTACTCTGTTCAGATAAGGAATCTAAAATTCTAGTATGTTTAGGGAGTTACTTAAAGATTTTTTAAAAAGTCTCTGTAGGACCACAACATGTTGGTTTTAGCACTAAGCTGCCTATATGTGTGTGAGTGAGTGTGTGTGTGTGTGTGTGTGTGTGTGTGTGTCTGAGTGTGTGTATTTTTTTATGGTACTGGGGATTTTTTGGGTACTCAGAGGTACTCACTCAACTGAGGTACATCCCCAGCACTATTTTGTATTTTATTTAGAGAGAGGGTTTCACTGAGTTAATTAGTGCCTTCCATTGCTGAGGTTGACTTTAAACTCATGATCCTCCTGCTTCAGCCTCTCGAGCTGCTGGGATTATAGGTGTGTGCCACCATGCCCGACAATGTATTTTTTAAAGACTAAAAAAATTTTTTGGAGACATCAAGGAAGCCTGTGGCTTCTTAAAGCTAGTAAAACTCTGCATCTCTTTTGTGGGTGGTTTCCTGAAAAATAGAACCAGCTAAAGGTTGCACCACATGTGTTTGTCAGCAGGTACAGGTTTTCCCCAGACAGGCCCAGATTTCAGGTCATGCATTTTCTGGCATGTTTTTCAAAGGTGTTGTGAGATGGTCAGTGGTTGAGACTATTCCACTAACCTCCAGCTGTGAAGATGAGGTAGCTCTTTACAAACCCTATCAGATTAGAGAATTTTCAGGTCCACCTTGTATTTTAGTCAGTCTCCAAACTGTCCCAAATGTGGCCAGTGAGCAGAAATAAAATTTTAACACAAGAGGTTTGAGATCTTACTATTTGTCTTTCTTTCTTTCTTTCTTTTTTTTTTTTTTTTTTAGTGATAGTGCTGGGAATTTTACCCATGGCTTCCACATGCTAGGCAAGTAGGCACTGAGCTAGTCTCCCAGTTCTTGAGATCTCACTGGTAATCTGTTTTCCTTATGTTGTCAGTCATGGGACTCTCCTGTATTTATAGTCTCTTTATTGGTTTGTGTTGTTGAGAGTGAATTCCGTGTGTGCTAACTTCACTGACTGACATTCATCTTGTACAAATAGTGATCTTTGGGCTTTAGTTTCCTAGCACCTTGCCTAGTACAAGGCAGTGTCATTAAATGCAGCATGAGCGAATTAAGAGTTGAAATTTTCATAATTTTTGCCTGTTTTTAAAAAAATATTTTTTAGTTGTTGATGGACCTTTATTTCATTTATTTACTTATATGTGGTRCTGAGAATTAAACCCAGTGCCTCACACATGCTGGACAAGTGCTCCACCACAGAGCCACAAACCCAGTCCACTTGTTGTTTTTTGACATGTCAGAGAGCTGTTGAAGACAGACATACACTTGCCGAATGAAAAACTTTGTAGGATCAGAATGGGAGTGCTGAAAGTTCTTTTACAGATGAGGAAAAACGTCTTAACCTCTGACTTTGAAAGCTTTTATTTATTTATTTTTTCAGGACAGGTTTTATAGTTGCATAGTTTATAATATAATTTTAAACTTAAGAATTCATACCAATACTCAAAGTCAAATGAGTAAACCTTATTTATAGTAAGATCTGGGAGTCCAGGGTTGAGAACATGTTGTTTTGTACACTCAAGGCAAAGGCAGGTCTAGCCTTCTTCCAGGGTGACTAGGATCTGGTAGAGCTCACATGACTTACCTCCTGTAGCCCTACCTGGGATAATTGGTTAGTCTGGTTTTGGTCATAGGTTTTTGTTTTGTTTTGTTTTTTGTTTTAATATTTTTTAGTTGTCAATGGACTTTTATTATTTATATGCAGTGCTGAGAATCAAACCCAGTGCCTCATACATGCTAGGAAAGCACCCTACCACTGAGCCACACCCCAGCCCTAGCCATAGGTTCTTTAGTCCTGGGGATTTTTCTTAGCTGTGTTTTACCCTTTCAAGTGATAGCAGAGTTGGAAGCAGCAGCCATGTCTTTTTTTTTTTTTTTTTAAGCAGAACTTTAAGAAAGGATTGAATGTTTGGTAAGTTTATTCCTTCTCCTTTTCTCTGACAACTTTATTCTAGGAATGCTTTAATTCTCCATATGGCACAAAATATTTTCCTGAATATGCGGAGAAAATTCCTGGTGAATCCACACAGAAGCTTTCTGAAGTAGCAAAGGAGTGCAGCATATATCTCATTGGAGGTAACTTCCTTCAACATGGTATAATGTCCTAAACATTAAAAGCATTTAAATGATTTTTATTACATTTAAACTATGAAACATAATTCAACCCTTGAAAAGAATGAGGTAGATTTATATCTAATAATAATGTAGAAGAAGCTTCAAGACACACTGTAAAGTAGGAAAAAAGCAAGTTCAACATGATTATGAATAGGGTATTCCCATTCAGATTAATCCCTCATACAAAATAATACTATGTTTTTATATGTAGTTATGTATGTGATGGCATAGTAAATATTGTAGAAAGACACACACCACATTAATATTGATGATTTTCCCTGGAGAAAAAGTAGTGGTGCAGAGGCAAATAGAAATGTGGAAAGATAAACCATATCTATGTTTTTTATGATACTAACATAGGGTTGAGAAGTTTTTTTTTTTTTTTTCCTTAGAGGCCACATGCATAAAGGTAGGTTTATTTTTGTGATTTTGAAGTAAATTGTTCTATTTGGTACAATTAAAAATAAACACAGTAAAATTCTGCTCAGTAAATACAGCAAACAAAATTATCTTTGTGTTATGCTATATTAAGGGTTAGAAATAAGTAAGACAGGGGTGGGATTGTGACTCAATGGTAAGAGTGCTTGCCTAGCACATGCGAGGCCTTGGGTTCCTCAGCACCACAAAAAAATAAATAAATAAAATAAAGGTATTGTATCTAACTACAACTAAAAAATAAATATTAAATAAAAATGAGTAAGACGTAGCAAAGCAAGAAGCATAGAGATGGAACTGCATTCAGTGACGAAGAGTCCTATGACTTAATGTTCTCATCTTGAGGCCTTTTGGGAGATAGTCTTGTTGCAGGACCTAGTGAAATTAAGGTGAACAACAATAAATTGTTTGGCTCTGTTACAATTTGTAACAGTGTTGCTTAAGATCATGACTGAATTTGAGAAGCAGTTTGGTTATGTTTTAAATCTGTCTTTGGTATGTGATCTGATTATATTTCACCTACTTTGTAGTTTATCTCTGAAAGATCATATTCAAGAAGGAAAAACAGTTAAATAATGTTTAGAAGGGAATAAACTATATCATTGGACCCAAGTGACAGTTTATCAGGACTTTATCACAAAATAATTATCACCAGTTATCACAAAATAATTGCTCTATTCTTTTTAGCTTCTGATTGATTTGTGTGCCAACGTGTCTCTTCTCTCAATGAAAGGCTCCATCCCTGAAGAGGATGCTGGGAAGTTATATAACACCTGTGCTGTCTTTGGGCCTGATGGAACTTTACTAGTAAAGCACAGAAAAGTAAGTATGGAATGTGCAAGTCTCATTGCCTCTGCTTCAGCTGGGTGCAATGGCACACACCTGTAATCTCAACGGCTCTGGCAGGAGGATTGTGAGTTCAAAGCCAGCCTCAGCAAAAGCAAGGTGGTAAGCAACTCACTGAGACCCTATCTCTAAATAAAATACAAACTCAGGCTGGGGAGGTGGCTCAGTGGTCAAGTGCCACTGAGTTCAATCCCTAGTACCCCCTGCTCCCCCCAAAAGAATCTACTTCAAAGTTTCCTAGTGCCTCTTATCATACACACAACTTACTTTTTGGCACAAGTGGCTATTCTTGTCCACACACCTTTTTTTTTTTTTTTTTAATAAATGTCAATTTCTGCAAAGGAACAACCTGCAGGAATTTTTATTAGGATTTTATTGAATATACAGAGATTGGTTTGGGGTGAGTTGACATCTTTGCAGTACTAAATGCACGTACATTTAGGATTGTTAAGTTTTCCTGAAGAATTGATCAGGAAAATGATTAAAAAAAAATTATCATTATGAGATGGCTCTTATTTTCTGTCTTTTTTTTCCTCTTGAAGTCAACTTTATCTCTGCTAATACTAGTTACTCCAAGTTTTTAAAGTTTATTGTTTGCCTAATAAATGTTTATCGATGTTTATTTATTTTTAATGTTTTGGGTACTAGGAATTGAACCCAGGGGCACTTTACCACTGAATTATATCCCTAACACTTTTAACTTTTTGTGAAGTTTTGGACAGGGTATCACTAAGTTGCTGAGGCTGGCTCCAACTTGAGATCCTCCTACCTCAGCCTTCTCAGCCTCAGTTGCTGGCATTACAGACTTGTGCCATTGGCATCCAGCTCTTATCTCTTATTTTCAATCTGTATGTGTCTTATATTTTAAATGGTTCTCTTGAACACAGTATATAGTTGGCTCTTACTTTTTTTATTTCAAATCGACAGTTCCTACCTTTTAACTGGAGTGGTTCACTCATAAATATTTAATGTGAATATTGATATGGTTAGATTTGGCATACAGATTATTTTTCCCTTTGATCTTCTTTTCTGCATTATTTTGAATTAACTAAATAGGTTTTAGAATTTCATTTTAATTTATCTTTCAGCTTTTTAATTATACCTCTTTGCTTTTTTTTTTTTTTTTTTTTCGTCTTGGTGCTAGAAATTGCTAATAAGCACACAGTCTACTACTGAGATCCTTTTTTTTTTTTCCAGTTGTTGTGCTGGGGATTATAATATGCATCCTTAACTTGTCACAGTTTACTTAGAATTAGTATTATTTCACTTAAGACCCTTGCAATGGCAAGTTGTGTTCCCTCATTCTTTTTTTAAAAAATATTTTTAGTTGTAGAAGGACTCAGTACCTTTATTTTATTTATTTGTTTTTATGTAGTGCTGAGGATTGAACCCAGTCCCTCACAGGTGCAAGGCAAACACTTTGCCACTGAGCCACAACCCTAGCCCTCCTGTTCCTCATTCTTTATGCTACAGTTGTCATATGTATTCCATACACATGTGTTTTAAGTATCACAAAACAGGTTTTTATTTAAATAGTTATAAGTATTTTAAAGAAATTAAGAGGGAAAAATCATAATGATAACCCAACTCTTTACTGTTTCTGGTGTTTTCCTTTCCTTCTTGAAGATCCTGTATCTTTTCTTTCAACAGAAGGATGTCCTTTTAGCACTTTTGTAGTGATCATCTGTTAGCTATAAATTTTGTTAGTAAGCATATCTTTACTTCATTCTTGAAAAATGTTTTTGCTGGAATAGAATTTGGTTCACTTTTTTTTTTTTTTTCTCTAGCTGGTATCTTCTGACTCCCCCTGCCCCCTTGATTAGACATCAGTAGTAATTTATATTGTTGTTCTCCAGTATATAATTTGATGTTCTTTTCTTTTTGCTTTCAAGACCTTTTTTGTAATCTTTACTTCTCAGTAGTTTGATTCTGATGTGCCTACATGTGGTTTTTCTTTGGTTTATCCTGCTTGGTGCTTCTTAAAACTTAAGTCTGTCACYACATTTGGGAAGTTTTTGGAATATTTTTGCTAAGTATTTTTTCTGTCCCATTCTTAGGACTCTAGTATGCGTATGTTGTATTGTTTGGTATTGTTCCAAAGTCACCAAGGCTCTGTATGTATATATATATTTTTGCATTGCTCGTGATCAAACACAATGTCTTGCACAAGCACACAAGCTAGAAGGTACTCCCTGAGCTACACCTCTAGCACTGGTTGTTTTTGCTTTCTAATCTTTTTCTGARTTCTAAACATTGGGCAATTTCTGTTGATCTATTAGGTTCACTGACTTTTTTGTCATTCCCAATATCCCATAAGCCAATCCAGTAAAGTTTTCAAGAATTGAGATATTTGAGTTGGGGGTATTTGGTATTTGAGCTCAGTGGTAGAGTGCTTACCTACTTGTGCTAGACTCTGGATTTGATCCCCAGCAGTAGCACCACCACCATAACAACAACAACAGCAAATTCATACACTAAATTTTTCAGTTTTAAAATGTCTATTTGGACCTTTGATATGTTTTTAAATTTCTACTGAAATTTCCTGTTTGTTTATTCATAAAGAGTGTGTTTTTATTTATGCCTTTGGGTTTTGTTTCAATAGTTGCATTAAAGTCTTTGGTAGAAGTATAGCTAGTTTTAAAAATACTGATCTCGGGTATAGTAACCTTGATAAACTTAACTCATTAATTTTAAAATTTATTTGTAGATTTTTTTGAGTACCAATTTAATCCAAAAATAATGATAGGTTTTATTCTTTCCAAATCTTGTGCTTTTGACTCCTTCCTTGGGCTCTGTGTAGGATCTGTGGTGTAATTTTGAATAATAGGTGTCCTTGCTTTTTCCAGTCTCAGCAGAACATTTTCAATATTTTACCTTTACATATGATGGTTGTTTAGGATTTTTGCGGATACTCTTTCATTGATTTTAAAAGCGCCCTTCCTAGAAGAGTTTTTCTGTTTCCCTTTTTGAATCATGAATGGTTGTAGAAGTTTCCATATGTGGGTTGGGAATGTAGCTTAGTGTTAGAATGCTTGTCTAGCATGTGTGAGACTCGGGGTTGGATCCCCTGCACTGAAAAAAGAAAAGTTTATTACCAGATACTCTGTATATATCACTTGATATTTTCTTCTTTATTTTATTTGTGTGATCAATTACAGTGACTTTCTAATGTTAAATCACATTTGCTTTCCTTAAATCTCATTTGGAAGTGATGAATTACTCTCTTTGCACATTGCTGAATTAGGATTGCAGAATTTTTCCTGTTGTTAAATGCTACTCATTCTCTACCTCTGCTGCCAATTTGCCAGTTTAATTCTGATTGTGATTCTGAGAGGTCTTCATTGACCATTTACAGTGGGTAAAGAAGCAACACTTTAATTACTTCCATTAAGAAACCTGAACATTGACTTGCACACCATCTAGAAAATGGGTTATAAAACCTATGACATTGTTTTCCGTAGTGTAATTCCATTTGATCATATGTCAGCCAGCTTGTGGGTGGGTTATGGGCAGGTTGGAGGTGCTGTTTGTACAGTTGATCTTAGAGCACTTTCATATCTGCCCATGGAAAGAGTCTAATGTTAYTGCCATGAGCCCTGCTGAAAAGGAGATAACCAAATCAATTATTTGTGATGCAGATCCATCTGTTTGACATTGATGTTCCTGGAAAAATTACATTTCAAGAATCTAAAACATTGAGTCCTGGTGATAATTTCTCCACATTTGATACTCGTACGTACTAGATAAATTTGCCTTTTTTACTTTTCCCAGAGAAGGAGGTGTTCCTTTCCTTTTTTGGTCTGTCTTCAACTTTTTCACATGACCTGACTGAAAACCGAGAGGTGAGGAAGGCAAAGAACAGTCATAGCCCTGGAAAGTCCAGGCCAAATAGGGTACTAAGGGTTTGGCACAGTTTTATTCTTCCTTTTGGTCATGGTCTACCTCGAGTGTTCCTGTTAGGCCATGATTGAACACCCCTCACTTAGTGAGCATTCATGTGGAATGAATTTTTCATTTCTGTTCTGATGATGTAAATGAGGTCTTTATGAGATGAAGTCTGAGTAAGATTGAGCTAATACATGGCCTTCYTTGTGTTAATTTATTCCAGTTAGAGTTTTGGGCTCATTAAGTTATAGAGGCTTTACCCTGCCATATCATGCTACAGGAGGTTAACTTTTTTATTTGTGCATTTTCTGTTTGGAAACAGCTTATTGCAGAGTGGGCCTGGGCATCTGCTATGACATCCGCTTTGCAGAACTTGCACAAGTGTATGCACAGAGAGGTGAGATAGTGTTACAATTATGTTCTCTAATCCGTAATTGCATAGAGAGTTGGTTCTGGGTTGCTTTCGGGTGGAGGGATCCCTAAGCATAAACTTTGCACAAAAAAATACAAAAATTATGCCCAAATGCACAGAAGAGCCAGGGATAAAATGTGATCTCCCCCTGTTCAACTCTTTCAATCCATCTGGCTTCTCAGACTTGCTGCATATGAATGATGCGACTTTTGAGGGGTTGTAATTTAATATATTTACCATGTAGCTAAAGCAGGAGCCATGCTCCTAAATGTCTGCTCTATCTTTTAAGCCCCTCCTGTTACTGTTTGTAGTAACTTTGAACACAGTAGAAATGAAGAAATGGCCTATATGTCCATGAATTTAGCACTCAGACATATAGCCAATGACATTTCAGTCCAAATTAGGAGAAGCATGGTAGTGTCTGGAAGCATGAAGAACCTAGTCAGAGCTGGATTCTGGTTCCAAATCTTCTTCTTAAATGGGACAGTACTTCCGGGAAATCGTTTTAACATCTAGAGCAGTGTGGTTTGAGTATTAAGGATAGAGAACTTGTAAAGCCCCTGTGTGGGTGCTCAACAAATGTTAGCATTTTACTAGACTAAAGCTACTTGCCATTTGCCACTGAGCAAAGTGAAGTGTTAAAGGTGGTTTGACTGCCTGCCCAGCAGAGGGTAGACGTTCTTGGGCTTTGGGGTTAATGGTCTGTGTTGAACCTTATCAGTAAACTCTAGAGCAACTACTCTGCCCCTAATTTCCGTTGAAAAGAATCACAGAACATGSTTGTTAGCCATGCGGTACTAATCATACAGGGCTCAGAAAAAATTGAATGAAAGTTCTCTACTTTTTTAAAATTATTATTATTTTATTTAAARGCACATGTTCTGATTTCAGTCATCAATCCCACTTTTCTTATGGCTGTGTTTTTTATGTGTGTATCTCTGGAAGAATTCAGAGCCATATCTTCATATTGACTCTGCCTGACTAGGCTGACATCTTTTTTGTGCTTGTAAAAGTTTGAGTTTGATCCCTGTTGGTAGGAGTAAAGGGAGGAACTGATGTTCATCTGCATCCACTGTCTTTGATTTTTCTCTCCCCAAGGTTGCCAGCTGTTGGTGTATCCTGGGGCTTTCAATTTGACCACTGGACCAGCCCACTGGGAATTGCTTCAGCGAGGCCGGTAAGAAAGGAACCAGTCATCTCAGTGTTTCCTCTTTGTGGAAAGATTTTTGGTTTGGTGGAAGTATTACCACTTACTGCGGAATGTAATTCTTCCCCTGAGCTAACATGCCCTGGCGTCCAAATGAAGTTTCAAAGGATGAGTCTGTAGGGAGGGCTTTTACTGCTAGGCACCTTCTCAGAAGCCATAGAACCAACCTCAAGGATTTCAAGGACTGTAGTTTTTGCATTTTGAGAGCATTCAGTGAATTAGTTGGACACTGATTTCATTTTTCTGTGATTAGATACGAATTGGTCTCTTCTAAGATAGTTACCAGCATCTTTTGCAGAGAAATTGAGACCCATGGAGCTTATGCACTCAGCACCACAGGAGCCGAAGAAAAGACAGGGTTATTTTAGCCTTTTGGCCCTAGAGAGAGTTTTGTAGTCTCTGCACAGCTGACTCTGCCATTCAGTTTAGGGTGCTTATCCTGCCCCATCCCCCACACCAACTACTAGTCCTTGGGATACTCTGACTAGAAACTCATTTTAAGCTCTTGTTCTTCTAATGTGTAAATTATAGGCTTTGCATACTTTTTTGGCATGTCACAGTTGCTTTTTCCCTAGTTCTGTAAGACTGAGGAAGGGTGAAGGGTACGCTGGAAAGAAAAAGTGTGACTATGTGTGTAAAGTGCTCTATGAATCATGAAATGTTGTCGCAGGTGATGGTTTTTTCATTAATCTTTTAAAAAATTGAGGTATAATATACTTACAGAAAACTGTGCTAATTTTAAGCATACAGGTCAATGGATTTTTATATGTGTATTCACCCAACAAGATCAACATATAGAAGATTTCTGATCTGTGAAATGCTCTCTTGTGCCCCTTCCCAGTCAATACTCTGTCTATTTTCACTTCTAGAGATAATGATAATTTTGAATAGAAAGGCAAGAAGTTTTGGCTGATGTCGAGTAGAAGTTGGAATATGATGCCATAAATATTAATTAATGTACCTTTCTGTCAAAAGCAAGGAAAGCTTGGGACATACTGGAACAATCTAATATGGGTCTATTGACTGAATCTAAAGGTTCCCAGGAGAAGTGGGTTGGTATACCTGGACTCCCACCTGAAGTTTTTGCTAATTTGAGATGGTGGGGCTGGCATCATTGGCAGGAAGTGCCAGATCACCCTCCAATGTATATTGCCCCAGGAAGGCTACTCCATTTTCTGGAAAGCATGACTTGTTTTAAACAGAGAAGCTTTGCTCTTTTGTTGCATAACAAGTTGGCTTTTGCCACACTCCTCACTGCACTGTTGCCATTTTGGACTAGATAATTCTTTGTTGTGGCACTGTCCTATACATTGGAGGATGTTTAATCGCATCCCTGGCCTATACCTACAAGATGCCAATAACAACTCCCTAGTTGTGATAATCAGAAAAGACTCCAGAAATTGGCAAATCTGATGGGCAAAGTCACCCTTGAATGAGAGCCACTGAATTACAGATGTGTTTTTGTTTTTTCGACTGGGATCTCTCACTATCTTGCACAAGCTGGTCTTGAATGCATGGGCTCAAGTAATCCTCCTCTCTCAGTCTCCCAAATGGCTTGGACTGCAGGTGTACACCATAATGCTCAACTAAATATTTTTTGAAGAGAAGTTTCCTTAACATCGGCCTGTACAGTGGAATCAACCTGTACTGCTTTTTTTTCTAACTTCCCCTACCATGCCAAGGATTGAACCCAGGGCCTTGTACGTGCTAAGCAAGTGCTCTTCCATTGAGCTAAACTCCAAATGCTTTTTTCTTTTATTCAGAAACCATTTTTTTATTTGTACTGAGCATTTACAGATTTTTTTAAAAATAAAAAATTTGAGTGTTTTATTCAGTTCTTTAAAATTACTACTCAATGTTTTTTTATTGGAAGTTTTAAATCAACCATTCGTAACTTAACCAAAAAGATGTTTTGTAAATGTGTCACAAATACATGGAATAGAACTCTACTTTTCATAATGGACTTGAATCTCAATACAATTATGAGTTGGTCAGTAAATCTTAACTGGGTTTTCTGGTAACTTTACATAAACAAGCCTATCACTGTTCACAGAAAATGGGCTAGATAGATGTTCTTCTAGTTTATCCATGAATTCACTCATCTTGTTGTTTAGAATTAACATCATAGTTTATAAGGGCAAGTGTTGCTTTCCTCTTGCCCTGAGTAGTTGAACTTCAGGACTCCCTTCTCATAGAAAAATTCTTCCTCTGCATTTGCAAACATTAATTCATCCAGTTGCTCCACCTCTTTTTGGAATTGATTTGATTTCTCATGCTTGCCCAAATGTCCATTAAAAGATAGAAGGAGCACTTCCCACATGGCTTATTAGTTTGTGTTCCTCTTCTAGTTCTTTCTGAAGTTGCTGGTGCATGGGCAATCTCTGAGGGACATCAGTGAATCTTCACTTACTAGGAAGCCCATAGACTTGATGGCCCCTTTGCTTTGGACCTGTAATAGTACTTGTGGATTCATCACAGCTGGAACAAATGGTAGAGAGCTGTTCACCTTAGGGTGGCCAGGAAGCAAAGAATGAAGGAGGAGGGGCCAGAGTCCTAATATCTGCTTCAGGGTCAACCCCCACTAAACCCCACTAAGTTCCTTCCACTAGGCTCTACCTACAGGTTCCACCACCTCCTGGTAGTGCTTTGAGCTGGGACCACTCTTCAACGTGTGGGATTTTGGGGCACATTCAGGATCTGGACTATAGAACCATTTATATGTTTTTTTTTGATAAATGTCTACTTTTAAATCAGGTTTATTTGGTTTTTAGCTGTTGAGTTTCTGGAGTTGCTTTTAGTCTGATTTTTAAAATTTTTTTTTTTGGTACTGGGAATTGAACTCAGTGGCACTTTACCACTGAGCTATATATCCCAGCCCTTTTTTAAAAAATTTGAGACAGAATCTTGTTAAGTTGCTGAGGCTAACCTCAAATTTGTACTTCTTTTGCYTCACCCTCCCAAAGTTGCTGGAATTACAGGCAGGTACTATCTGTAGTTCTGTTCACATCTGGCTTATAGTCTGGATATTAGCACATTGTCAGATATATAACTTGTGAATATTTTCTCCCATTTTCTACATTGTCTCTGCACTCATGATTGTTTCCTTTGCTGTAGAAAAGCTTTTTAGTTTGACATAATCTCATCTATTTCAAGCTTCCCCTTGAAAATGATGTGATGAAGAAATTACCTAAGTGCTTGACCTTAGTCCTCTTCTGTGTGTCTAAGTGAACCTTCACTGGATCGCTTAGAGTAAACAAGGCAGTAGTGAAGGGTGAGTGGTTTTATTAGTAAAAGAAATTCCTGAACTCTTAACTTTTGGTTAAAATTTAGGCTGAGTAACTGATCCACTCATTTTTAGGGTCTTGCCCCGCCCCCCCATCCTTGCTCATTCCAATATCCTGAAACATTGCCTCTGTGTTTTCTTCTAGTAGTTTTCTTTTCTTTCTTTCTTTTTCTCTTTTTTTTTTTTAACAAAGAATCTGTGTATTTGGGATAGAGAGATGTTGTAGATGTATAACGTGCATTACCTCTTTTCTGTTCACTGGCTACAGGGCTGTTGATAATCAGATATATGTGGCTACAGCCTCTCCTGCCCGGGATGATAACGCCTCCTATGTTGCCTGGGGACACAGCACTGTCGTGAACCCTTGGTGAGTGTATCTAAGTGAGGGTGGGCTCAGTGGGAGCTTGAGAGATGACACATGGGCAGTTAGCTTGTCTAAATCCTGACCAGCCCCCTTCATCTTCCACTCCCAGTTCTCCACACATGACAGGCACAAGAGAAGCTTCCCCTTGAAAACCATGTGAAAAGAAATTACCTACGTGCTTGACCTTAGCCCTCTTCTTTGTATCTAAGTGAACTTTCACTGTCAATCACACTTGAATCACTTAGAGTAAACAAGGCAGTAGTGAAGGGTGAGAGGTTTTAATAAAAGAGATTCCTGAACTCTTAACTTTTGGTTAAAATTTAAGCTGAGTAACTGATTCTAGGACAGGAATGAGTTACAGGGCAAGGACTTTGTTCGAAGCATAATGATTAGAGAAGCAGGGAGTTTGGCTTTAGTAAGGGAAACTATGACCCTGTCTCCTGTGAAAGGGTAAAACATTACTCAGTGAAAGCAGCATATAAGTCCATTCAGACATACAACATACACTCATCCCTTAATATGCAGACCTTGTGGTCCACATTTGAAGAGTTTATATTGTACTTTCACAAACATGATTAACTTTGACTCAGGAGCTTATCCTTGTTAAACTCAGATTATTGAGGGTAGAACTGTACTTCTCAGAGTTTAACTGGATCCAGGACTTTGGACTCTAGAAATTGGCCTTCTTCTTCACTGTTTCTGTATATGAATATTCACACAGCTCTTTCTCTCTCTCTCTCTCTCTCTCTCTCTCTCTCTCTCTCTCACACACACACACGCACACACAGATATGTACTTATACAATTTCAGGGTTAATAGACAAGACTGAGAAGGGTTAAACATTGCTATGGGAGTCCACAGATGCTCACTCTTCTGACATTATAACATCTAAAGCTCAATGTGTATGGTAGGGAGGCCTTGGAAGATACTGGAAAAATATGACTAATGAAATTCTCCCTGATCATTCTACATGTTAGGGTTAAATTTGGAGGATATTGGACTGGAAGGGTTAAGCTGGCTTAACAGTTTCCATGAACTTGCATCAGGTTCCTCTGTCAGGATATTATTAATAGGTTTCCTGCCTCTTGGGCAGCTACTCCATAGCTAGTTCTTGGGATAGATTGTGATCTACCTTCTTCATTCCACAGGGCCTGGGGGCCCTCTGGCTTATGTTGACATGGAGGTGGGTGCCTGGGTTATACAGAGAGGGATTTTTGAGTGCCAGGACAAATGGACAAGAATTAGAAAAGAACAGAAAAGGATTTTTGGTTAAATGCCATCTGTGCCAGGAATGTTTATGGCTTTCTAGTAAGTGGAACCAGTTATTATGTCAGATTGTTTGTTATGACACATTACTTTAAAAAACATTTATTTCACTAAAAGTTTCTGAATACCTGCTCTGGGCTTAGACTAAGCACTGGAATTAATTTTCCAGATTAGTCTTAAGCATGTGGATGCCCCACCAGACTCTAGTTTTAAATCTTGTGCTTGAATCTGAAACCAAAACCCCTTAGCCTGCAGGGATTCCAGCAGAGCTGGGGTCTGCTCAGGCCCAGAATCACCACCCTCAAGTTGAGTAGTTGCCTGGGCAGGGGTAAGAAGGTCAAGACTGCCTTTGGAAAGGTCCTCGTTGAAGGGCACTCATGAAGAAATAGGGTGGCGCTATTTCTAGTTAACTTTATTCCCAGATGTTTATAATTGTGGAATAGCTGCCACTTCCTAGCAGTCTGCAGTTTTATGAAACATACATCATAATTTTACTAAGCCTCACAGAGCTCTGGGTGATTCCAAATGACTTGCCATAAGGTCACACAGCTACTAAATGATAAAGCAGGGATTTGTACACATACCATTTTATTTTAGGTCTCAGAATCTTCCCTTTGGCTTGTGAGACAGGGAGGAAAAACAGAGACCTGGAAAATGACCAGATGGTAGTAAGTCCACTCATTCTCCTCTGAATCTTTTCCAGGGGGGAGGTCCTAGCCAAAGCTGGCACTGAAGAAATGATCCTGTATTCAGACATAGGTAAGATTGGCTCTGGGAATTTGGCTCCCTTGTATCCCCACTGCTCTGAAGTATGAAGCCTCAGTCATTTGAAATGACTCCTTTATACCCCTTTTTGGGATTCAGAGTATTCTAGGTCTGATTTTAAGGCCAGGTGCATAGGGCTATAGCTTTGCTTGGCAATGATCTTGGAACCAGTGCGGGGCTATGGGTGCATTCAGATAAAGTGCATTTATATTAGGTGAGTTACTTGCTGAGACTCTAGTTGTTTTTGCAGCTTGGGGAAGAAATCCCCTTGGTCAGTGAAGATTTGCAAATTATTAATCATGCACTTTCCTGTTCTTGCAGACCTGAAGAAGTTGGCTGAAATACGCCAGCAAATCCCCATTTTTAAACAGAAGCGATCAGACCTCTATGCAGTGGAGACCAAAAAGCCCTAAAGTTTGTTTCCAACATCTCACAAAACAGGAAGATACAAATGTTTCTGTAGCATAGCTTCTGTTGATTCTTGTTTTGTAGGGGTGCTGAAGATTGAACCAAGACTCACGCATACTACCACTGAGCTACATGCATAGGCTCCCATTGAATTCTTTAATGGTTTTTTAAATAAATTTCAGCCTTTTCCTCCTGGGAGAGCTGTCTGTTGAGATGATAAAGCCATCTTGAATAGTTAGAAAGGACACAGACTGGCATCAAAGAGCAGAAAGCGGGGGCCATGAAGATTCTTTCCTTAAGATACCGAAGAGCAGGTTAAAAAGTATCTTGGTATCCTGTTGGTTGATGTACCTAATACAAACCTTTTTGTATATTAAGCCTCTTATCCCACCTGCTTGAGTTGGTCTGCTGCTATTCGTCTTCAAAAGTATATTAAAGTTATTGTTAGTCCCTGCATAGCTGTGGGAAGCAAGATGATGGATCCTTGGTGTTTGCCAGAGGATATGGCAACCTTTTCTTTCCTAGCAGCTTTTGGGCTCTTTAAATTCAAGAAAGAGCTAATGACTTAACACTAGGCCTTCCTGATCTTGGAGGAAAGGCCAGGTCAACAGTGAGCCTCTTGGGAAAATGGCATTGGTGAAAGCAACTCAGTGTGTCTGCAGAAGATTTTTCGGATAGGGTTGAGTGTCTGAAAATATCATCTTTTTCTGCTTTTCAGTTTGCTTTTTTCCCTAGTAATACTTTATAGCTCCATAGATGAAAAACTTCTGAATCACTTTTGGTCTCAGAATCTTCTTGGACTAATGTTTTTATTTATGTGTAAAAGTTGGCTCATGTGACCTGGTACAATACTGCTCTATCACACTGCTGGTTTTACATGATATTCACCATACTAGTAAATAAAGTAAAAATTTTAAACAAAAGACACATGAGTATATATATTCTATTTGCTATGAGTGAAGACATTATATATCATTTAATTTCTGGAAAATAGCACTGTGTACTCATAAGACCAAGAGTGAAAAAGACAAATGGCTTTTTAAATTAAGTGTATAATTTGGTGAAATTTTATATATAAAGAACCATGGAATAAGACAATGAACGCACTTACCACCTGCAAGTTTCCCTGTGCCCATTTATAATCCCTCTGGCTACTCTTCTGTCTTCGGACAATCACTGGTAAACTTTATCACTAATGATTAGTTTGCATTTTCTTGAATTATATAAAAATGGAATCATGCCACATGTACTTTTTTCTTTTGGTCTTTATTATTTGGAGATTCATCTGTGTTTGTAACAGTTATTTATTCCTTTTTTAAAAGGAATTGTTTATCCACTTAAATGTTGGTGAACATTTGGGCTACTTTCCRTTTTTGGCTGTTGCAAGTAAAGGAGCTAGAACATTTTATACAAGTTGTTTATCTCATATACGTATTTCACTGCCAAACTGTTCTCCAAAGTGATTATGATTTTACAGTGGTGCTAGCCAGTTGGTCTACATCCTCACGTACACTTGATATGGTTAGCCATCATAGCTATCACTGGTGCTATAGAAACAAAGACACTTCATATTGATGTAGCATTCCTACAACAGACAAGGCAGATGCTTGCTAAAACTTGGTTTTGTATTTCAGTCGTGTTCTTTTAGTGTTATACCTGGTGATCTTATGGTGCATTCAAAGACTATGAAAGGAAACAAATGAAGTAGGGATCTCCTATAACGAGTATGAAACATTTTATTTTTGGAAGTGTGTGGTACCTGGTCAATGTTTTTACCTTTTAGAAAATGGTATCTAATGAATGTTTTTATGGATGGAGTACAAGATACTTTGCTTTCATAACTAGTGGAACATAGGGGAGTTTACACACAAAATGAAAATGGTAATATCCATTTAAAGAAGTGCAGGAACAAAGGGTATTTACTGATACTCAATACTTGGGGTATTATTAGTTTGGAATTTTGCATAAGAAAAGGGGTTTCATTAACTTCTGACATCCTTGTGTCATGGCTGAAACCATTTGAATTTCTCTACACAGATTTTTTGGCCTGGTTTATTGTGTTTTCCAGATATGACCTATAGTGGGAGTTATAACAGAATCATGGATAATCTGACTATTTTAGTTTACCAAGAGCACGTATGAAAGTGTTCACCATGCAGGAATATGCAGAGACTCTAAATGCTGTCTGTGGCTTTAAATCTTCTTTTATTAAATGTTATTGCTTTTTCTAAAGGATCCAGAATTGGAATTCATAGTGATCTCAAGTAGCAAAAAAGAATGAAAACAACCTATCTGTAACATGTTTCTTTCCTTTCTATATAGTTCTATCAACTAATGTATGGAAATGTACTGATGTAAATCTTGAACAAGCCAAGTCAAATATATTCTTGCATTAAATATTTTTAAAATACTTTTTAAAAAAGAGATTTAATCAAAATGAATCCTGGATTCCCACTTGGAGTGGGAGAATATTACAGTTTGAAGCTGTGAGAAAAATTTTAACTGCCATTTCCCTTAACTCCCAACTTTCTTTTTTTTTTTTATTAAAAACTTTATTTATACGTGGTGCTGAGGATTGAACCCAGAGCTTCGCATATGCTAGGTGAGTGTTCTACAGCTAAGCCACAACCCCAGCCCCCAGCTTTCTAACGAGTTACACAATTATTATTTTTGTACAGTACTTTTAAAGGCTGCTATTACAAGTTGAACCTATATCTTATTAGGGGCCTTTTGGACCTCTCTCTAGTTTAGGCAACACATTTAGCTACTTAAAGTGAATCTTTCACAGCCAGGATGATCTGCTGAAATAGGACATGCAGGTAGGCAGAATGATTTTGATCTAGAAGCTGAACTAACAGGTAGTAGTAGGTTTTGCATTGGTTGCAACTGAATGAATAACAGGGTTTCTAAACCTGTTATTGTAGTTGTTGGTTGTGAAATTTAGGGAAACTCCTTGTTGCTACCAAAAGTTAGGTCCATGTAAAGTACACTAAGTGAAAAAAGATTCAGATAAGAATTGAGGTTTCAAGATGAATGTTCTGTTCTACTGGCTAACCTTTTTAAGCACTGCTGGATAGGTTTTGGTGGTGAGTGGGTATGAGGTGAGGGGACAGAAAGGGAAAAGATAACCAGCACTGACTGCCACTACAGCAGGGAGTTAACATTGCTCCTTCTCATTTATGCCTCATAACTGCTTTTGTGTTGCAGTTTCACATTACTTATCAAATTGTCTTCATTTGGTTTTGTTTCTTCTTGAATGAATTTTGGAAGGTAAGAGAAAGCTAGTTATTGGAAGAAAATGTACTTTTAGATTAAAAGTTCTTGTTAAAAATCAGCAATAAAAAAGTGAAGCCCTCGATGTAGAGTCATATAACTAAAACATACATACAAGGATGCTTCTTGTTCAGTGATTTAACTGGTTCATAATCCACCAAGTGGACAAGAATCTTCAAGCATGGAGCATGGTGGGCAAGGTGCAGTAATATTCTGTTGTGATGACCAGCTCTTCTGAAATTATTTAGCACCCCACTCTAGTTTGTGCTCTGTCCTTTAAATCTTGTCCTTAGATTCATTCTCAGTTTCTCTTTCAAAACAAARCCTAAATCTTGCCATCTTGTGGACTAATTTTTGTTTTCCACTCACTTTCTTAAATTCATTTCTGCTTACCAGATAATTCCTATATTTAAGTTGCTTTTCAGACCCCTGAAGGCAGGATATGCCTTCACCATTACAATGACATTTCTCTGACAAAGACTGTCAGTGACTCATTTGCAGACATGTTTGGCCTCACTAAAACCTAGCATCATTAATGTTGTTTCTAAGTTTTACTTTTTGCCCCTCTATTATATATTTTCCCTGAAGTAGTCTTAAATATGTTTATAATTCTTTTTTTCTAAAAATTTTTAGTTGTAGATGGATGCAATACCTTTATTTTTATGTGGTTCTGAGGATCAAACCTAGTGCCTCATACAYGCGAGCCACAATCCCAGTCCTCATAATTCTGATAACATACAGCTCCACTACTGCTTTCTCCCAATCAGTTTAAAAACAACTCATTTTGCTGGACTCAATTTGGATGGCTCATTTTCAGCTCAGGCACTTAATGTCTCTTCACTTAGATCTTTTGTCACGATTGCTGTTTCCCTATTTTGTAGAAAACTCCTTACCTAAACCTTAGTTGTTCTTTTAAGTCTCTGGTCAGGCAGCTTTCTGTGACCAGCTCATTAAAGGTTTGGCAGCAATGAAAATCCACTGCATGTGCTATATTCACCTAGATCCACCACATTCCTCCCCTAGGATCTGGGGCACTTGCATGTTGTGCTCTAAATCATCAAGTCTGTTGTCTGACCTAGGAATCACATGTCTTCTGCCAGCATTCAGGAAAATGTAGTTGCAAATATGGGTAAAAATCTTGTACTGCAGATATTGAAAAAAAGCAGGTAAAAGTTGTTTAGTACAGAAGTTATTCAGAGATAAGCCATGTATGGGTTATCTCTGCAGAGAACCCCACCATTATTCATCCTGTTCCCCTTTGAATTAAAGTTTCATCCTGCTATTGCTCTAGAAAAACTCTCCATGCCCTTTCAGGRCAACACTTCTGCTAACAAAAGAACTGGGCTAGGTGTTTCTGAGCTCTGAATGACAGGAATCATGTCCCTTAAGCCTACTCACACCTTTTTTTTTTTTTTGCTTAGCACTTCACTTTTTTTTTTTATTGGTTGTTCACAACATTACAAAGCTCTTGACATATCATATTTCATACATTAGATTCAAGTGGGTTATGAACTCCCAATTTTTACCCCAAATGCAGATTGCAGAATCACGTCGGTTACACATCCACAATTTTACATAATGCCCTATTAGTAATTGTTGTATTCTGCTACCTTTCCTATCCCCTACTATCCCCCCTCCCCTTCCCTCACATCCTCTCTCTCTACCCCATCTACTGTAATTCATTTCTCTCCTTGTTTATTTTCCCATTCCCCTCACCTTTAATCTTTTAAGCCTACTCATACCTTTAATCTCCTCCCCTCCCTTTGAATGGGGTCAAACACCACAGCTATTGTCCCAGTGATGAGCAGGTATTCAGCAGGAAGACCATCTAGAAGTAACAGTTCCAAGTATAATCTGTGTACTATCACCTTAAATCACTCATTATTTTTATGGTACCTAATTATGAGCTCCAAAACACTTGAAAATGGTGTTTTCCTTTTGATGTCTCTTCTAGGATACTGACAAGGGGATCTCAATTTTTACCTTATACCTGAAGGGCAGTCTTTTTTGGCTTGGTGATTATACCAAGATCCTACTTATTTTAAATCACAAATACCTCCAGCTCTTGACTTAAATGCCAGTCTATCACTTGAGTGTACATTCACTACCTAAATCACCTTTGGCCAGTTTCAGTACATATGAAGTTGTTCCACTTTGGGATACTAAAAAGAACTTTGAAATATAATTCTCCTTATACACATATAGTGAAAGTAGCATTAGCTTCCTATAGCTGTTGTAAGGAACTATAAACTCAGTGGCTTAAAAGGACAAAAGTTGGCCAGGTACAGTGGTGCATGCCAATAACGCAGTGACCCAGGAGGCTGAGGTAGGAGACCACAAGTTTGAGATTAGCCTTGGGAACAGAAGACCCTGTCTCAAAACTAAGGGCTGGGGATGGACCTCTATGGTAGAACCCACTGGGTTCAATCCCTAGTACCATTAAATTTTTTTTTTCTTTTTTTAAAGAAGGTATGTCATTACACTTCCCATGTGTAATTTTCTCTCAATAAAATCACATCTGCAAAATCCCTTTTTGCCATCTTAGRTAAGGTTCCAAGGACAGGATGTGTATATTTTTTAGGGGACCATTTTTTTTCCTATCAGTATTTTAAAACTTACAAACTTTAAATTTAAAATTCCGTCACTTTGTTTACAAATCAAATTAGTAGAGGACTGGAGATAGAATGATTACCCACCCCTTTCCCTAACTACTCCCAAGTTATTTTGTTATAAACAGAGATCATACAACACAATTTACCAAGACAGTTTAGGGAAATSATTACTTTTATAAAAAATGTTTTAACCAAACCATGTTTCTTGGTTTGGTTAAACTATATGGTCCTCTTGTTTATAGACTGTCTGAAGGAACGTGGCTCTCTTGGCTCTCTGTAAAGCTTTGTTTCACAGTAAAAACGATGAATGCTTTCAGGAAACACCACCATTCACACCAACCAACTTGTACGTGTCTATTTTCAAAGTTAGTTTGAGCTCAAAAAGAATGATTATCTAAAACTGTAATAAAAAGCTACCTATCTTACTGTTCAAAGAATACATTAAAAAGCTTGAACGTAATATTTATTTTGTGAATTTACATGTGAGGTCATTTACAAAGAAAAAAATACAGACAGATGCAGCTTTCAGTGCAGTTTTCAAATAGTTTCACAACAGGCAATAGTCTGAGAATTTGGAATGACAGTATTAAATGGCACATGCTTCAGTTCCTTTTTTTTTTCTACCCAACCCCAAGGAGAAAGAAAGGAGAAGAGTAGAAGAAAATGTCAGTGGTAATGTAAATGCAGCCATGCAAATAAAAACTTTTTTTTTTAAAGCCAGAGGTCATTCAGAGATGTAGAACATTCCTATAGATACATAATTTAAGAACAACAACAAAAAAAAGCACAGCTCTCCAGTTTTCCATTATCCCAATCTTAAATTATGTTAACAATCCCAACTAAAATCTATTAGTGGCCTCAATATTTTCCAAAGACTGACTTTGGAAGAAGAATCATTTCTAATAGTTTCTAAAAAGATAGCATTTATAGACAAAATCTTTTTGGTTTCAACAGGATAAAGCACCCTTTTAAAGAGGGTAAATGTTCCTTTATTTCCAACAATGTAAACTATAATTAGACTTCATTTCCAGAAAAGTGTAACATAAGGCTTGTTCTTTTACTATATTCAGACTTAAATAAATCCCTCCCTATCTGATGTCTAAAACAAAAGACCTGTTAAGAACACAGCCCTTCCCCCACATGAAAGATCCTTTTGCATATAAGCCAAAGGATGGTCTATAAAAGTAACAACTGGAAATACACTAAAGTGATTCCTAAGTAGGGAGGAGTACAGATAAAACCAACAGAACAAAAAAATCTGCTATTAGTATACCTAGTGAAGACCTAGAAATGGGCCATTAGTCCTTAGAGGTTAAGGTTAGCACAATACAAAAAAAGGACTCTGCATGTATTCAATGTCTTTGAAAATACTGGCTCAAAATTCCTTAAGCACATGTAGCCATAGCTAAAGCACTATACCTGTCATTTCAAAAAAATACTATGTTTTGAAAAACCAAACAAAAAATCCCCAAAACCCCCACAACTCTTCTGGCTCCAAGACTTACATCCTTTCTGAACTTAGCCATATTTTCTTCACTAGAAAATTTAAGCAAATTAAACACTCCCATAAACACACTCCATGTTTACTTGGGCTATACACATAACCTATACTTTTTTTTAAAAAAGTATGCTTAAAATAGTACTTATTGCAGAAAAAGTTATTGGCAATTATGAACACCCTTCTATTTCAGCTTACCTTTTTTCCTGGTCCACTTCTCCATTATAGTCTTCTTGTACAGATTATCAATCAGAATATCTTGACTCCTGCAAAATTTACTGAATGAAAACCAGCTGTTGTAGACTTTTAAATTTCTAAAATTCTGCAGAATCAGAGGCATTGTGCATGCTGGCAATGGTTAAAGGATCGCTCGATTTATTGTAATCCCCATTTAAGCTTTCCATCCTTAAAAAAAAAAAAAAATCAACTAAAAAGGATTAATTGAATATAAAAGAAATTATTTATATGTGTTAATTTAAAAACAACATATTGTAAAACTCATATTATACACACACATATATTTATATATTTAGACAAAATCACCCAGAACATAATCCACCCCCACCCCATTTAAAAAAAAAAAACTGAATCAACAAATCAAAGTTTTTATTTGCATGGCCAAATTATTACTATGCAACTTTGTTTTAATATCCCTTTAACAGGTTCTAAGCTTTTGTTGCACAGGGAATAAAAGCTGCAAGACTGTGAACTTCCTTCAACAGCCACGCCCACAACACCTAAACATGAAACAGGTAAAGAATGACAACACCACAAAGGGGAATACTAAGTTTCCACCATTCAACACAGTTCATGAGTGTCCTTAGGGTTCGTTGAAGAGGGGRTAAACTTCTTTTAAAAAGAACGTCAGTCTCCTTTCCCCTTGTTTTATAATGTTGGTGGTTTTAATCCGTATTTCTTTGCAACTTCTGTCTGGGCATGGGCAGCATCGCAAAGTGAATACAGATGAGCCATCTCCATTTCTGATTTGGCCAGGTTAATAGCTTTGTTGAACATGTCAATGGCTTTCTCCATGTTTCCTCTAAAAGAACAAAATGTTTAAAATGCTCATATTAAACAGGCATTTCACAGTATCTAATAAAGTCTATAAGTGCTGCTACATGAAGTCTGACAAACTAAGTTTCAACTATGATTCCAATAAGATAACTTCTTTCATAAAATAAAGAAAAGTGTCTAGCACAATGAAAACACTCAGGGAATGTTAACTACTTTTACAAATACTGTGTGCTTCCATTATACCTCTTACATTGTTTATAGATAAGGGGCTACACTTAAATCATATAGGTTATTTAAAATCATAATTCTGTTTGGTTCCTCAAGTTTTCATGTTTCTGGTGAAACACAGGCTCCTTTAGAAAGCAGGGACCACCTCAGAGAATTGAAGCCTTTCCTTCAGGGGCCTTAACTTTGAAGGTTTATGCAAGCCCACCTTCTTTCTACCTCCTCTCTTACCACCCTAAACCCAATCCCATGCACTTCTACTTCAGTAACAAAGGGACAAACAAATCTCCATTCTTTGACTCTGCCACACACTCATTCCTGCATACAACACTCAGACTATTTATTGCCCATTTGCCTGATTCTGGTCAAATCCTCACCTTTGTAAGGCTTAGTTCAAATACCATATCCTCATGAAAAATATTTTCCCTTCCAAAAACAGGGAATGAGCTGCTTTACCAGCTATGGGCCCATAGTTCTATTTAATTCCATGCATAGTTAGATGAATGTGTATTTATTTACATCATAATCTTACTTTCAAGTTCCAGAACCTAGTATTATGGCTGATAATTACTGTTTTTTTTTTTTGAGTAAACAGATGAATATGCTTGGGCAATAAGATAAAACTGACCTCTTAACAGTCTTAAGTGTGGCTAGGCTTTATACAGTTAATGAGAAACAATTGTTATTGTTTTAACTATGTAAATGTACATACAGGTACGTAATCCAAAAAGAAATACTTAATAAATATAACTAGAGACTTAGACTCTTAAGAGGAGGAACCTCTAGAGTGACCATTCACTACAACATATGCCTATATGATTGATTTATTTTTTTAAAGGGGTCTTTTTTTTATTGTTGGTTKTTCAAAACATTACATAGTTCTTGATATATCATAAAGGGGTCTTTTTTTTTAACAAAAATTTTTTTGTTTAGTTGTTGATAAACCTTTATTTATATGTGGTGCTGAGAATCGAACCCAGTGCCCTCACTATGCCAGGCAAGTGCCTACCTACTGAGCACTGTCCCAGACCCTGATAAAAAAAAATATTAAAAAAAAAAAAAAGTCTAAGTTGTTGATAGACCTTATTTATTTATTTATATGTAGTGCTGAGAATTGAATACAATGCCTCACATGTGCTAGGCAAACACTGAGCTACAATCCCAGCCCTGATAGACTTATTAAAAAAAAACCTTTTTTTAGGAGTTCAGATATTAGATTAACAGCTAGTAGATATGCTAAATACTAGCATAATCAGGGATTTTATTCATTCATTCACATTAGTTTTATTTAAAYGTAAAGCAAGATTTACAATGGAATTCTTGTTTTTTAATTGTAGGTGGACATAAGACCTTTATTTTATTTATTTATTTTTATGTGGTGCTGAGGATTGAACCCAGGGCCTCACACATAGTAGGCAAGTGCTCTATCCCTGAGCTAAAATCCCAGCCCTTACAATGGAATTCTTAAAAGAATAATTAACTAAAATTTCACCAAACCACTTRATTAAATAAGGGGTCTCAGCAGGATTTACAAACACCTTAAATGCAAAGTCTTTTTATAGATTCACCTTTCTAAAAAGATTCATAACTCTGCTCAAAAACAATTAAGAACAAATACCCTATTCTAGTAAGAGAATATATTATTCAAATTAACAAATTATAACTATTTACATGCAACTGTCAGTACAGAATGATTCAAAAAAACCACATAATTCATTAGTCTGTCTCTCTGTAGCAGGAAAAGGATCCCAGGAAGCCAGAATGACGGGGAATTAAGAGATACTGTGCAAATTCCTAACCAATGATAGTGACGGGATTAGCAATTCTGGCATCGGTGAAATATGGACTTGAATTTTGTATTTGTTCCTGACTCACTGTGTAACCATGTTAACCTATCTGTCTGGGCATTAGTTTCTGCACTGTTCACCTGAACTCAGGATTTTATATTCTCCATCTTTATAAAGAGCAGGGTATAGATCAATTAATTTAAGTAATATTTGGAAAACACCTCAAGTTCAGTACTTGACCTAAAATAGGGACTCAAATGGAAGGCAATGCCACCATTAAGATCTGTACTACAATAAGTCCCATGCTTCAACAATTATACCTGTAAACGTAGACCTTTAAAAGCAACTCTGGATATAAAACAAGAAGTTATGGGAAGTCAAGAGTTGGAAAAAAATAATTTGATACAACCCCAATTTGAGAGAAAACTCATGGGGGTTCAGAAGATGTTGCAACTTGCCTACTTGCTTGTTCCTTGTCTGCTGCTTTGTAGAATACAGATCTCATGGCAATCTGGCTATCAATCTTTCTTGTTCTATACTCCCTAAAATATTAGCACATTACATGTGTTCTTTTTTTTCCTTCCAACATGAATCAGGTGAAAAGAGGAAAGAATACASGACAGATATTAGAGGAAGACTTAGTTTCTGTTTCTAATGCATAAATTTAACTTATACAACTTTTACAAGTGTGATTTTTAATTTTAAAAAATGATAAAATGAGGCAATTGAAAGTTACATAGTTTCAAAGGAAGCTTGCATCAATAGGCATAACTACATGTATGTAATGAGAACAACAAGGTATCCTATGGAGCTGCCAAAAACTTGCTAAGAACAGACTCTAGAATTACCTTTGCACTTCAATAGTTCCCATGGTTTCATATGCAAAATCACATTTGTTATCAATTTCAATAGCTTTGCTGATAAGCTCCAAACCTCTATCCAAATCTTGCTTCCACTGAAGCTGAAGTAAACTGCAAATGCAAAAAAGCAGTCATGTGACCATGGCTCAGTATCAACAGAAACACAAATGTATTACACAATTTCCATCCTCAATAAATTTTATTTTGACTTATAAATAAAAACTACTCAAAGCAGTACATAATCAGCATCACATTGTGTGTGGATTTTTTCCCAACCTATTACTGGTTTTATAGTCTAAGTTCCTTATTAAAGAGAAAAAAACAAAAACAAAACACATTTGGGCTAGGGGTGTAGCTCAGCAGTAGAGCATGAGCTTGTAAGGCCCTGGATTCAATTCCCAGCACCATCACAACAACACACACACACAACACAATAGTATCCAATGGTCTGGGATCCATTATTATTATTTGTACCAAAGGATTGAACCCAGGGGTGCTTAACCACTGAACCACATCCCCAGCCCTTTCCTATATTTTATTAGAGACAGGGTCTTACTGAGTTGCTTAGGGCCTTGCTAAATTGCTGAGGCTGGGCTTGAACTCTCATTCCTCCTGCTTCAGCCTCCCAAGTCGCTGGGATTACAGATGTGTGCCACCACGCCTGGCTTGAGATCCATTATTGACTTGCCTTGCATTCCTTAATTTTTACATTTTTAAGCGAGGTTTCTTTTTTCTTTTTAGTATTTATTTTTTAGTTTTAGGTAGACACAATATCTTTATTTTTATGTGGTACTGAGGATAGAACCCAGTGCCTCATGCATGCTAGACAAGCACTCTACCACTGAACCACAACCCCAGCCTGAAGTTTCTTATATTTAAGTACACAAGGATAGAAATGCACACTCTGTATTTTTCCTATTTTGATATAAGTAATGTTTGACAGGATGCTTTGAAGTAAAATTGAAACCCTTAACCTAGGGTAAAAAATAGGACATTTATTAATTTTATATAAGAATGAAACAGCATTTATAAGTGTTAGGAAACTGGTTGATGAACTCACAGATACCACAGTCCCATTCCTCAAAGGCCAAAAGAAACCCACTTTATTACAATGAAGGAGAAATTTAGTATCTTATTGGAACAAACAGAACCACAAAAATACATACCCTTTATGAACATATGTTGTGGCATTATCTGGTTCCAAATCAATACATTTATCATACATTTCATCAGCTTTACCAAACTGCTGTTGATCTGTTAATGCCTATGTGAGGAGATACTTCAGTTATATTAAAGAAACTGTTAACCTAAACAGTTAAGAGTATATTGCTTATTATTATTAATATTTACTTCATTTATCCATTCATTACCAAATTATGTTTTAAATAATTGTTATTTAAACTGAATTAAATTTTACACCTTAATTACTGGAGTTTCTAGGTGGCACTGGTATAAATATGAAATCTTAACTGTCCTCTCATTTTTGAAAGTAGTTATATATAACCAGAAAATATGGGAAATTGTGGAATAAGAAAATCCCACTCTGAGTGACAGTTCTAATATTACAATCTCACAAGTATGTTCGTCTGCTTACTCATAATTTATTATAATATATATCTTAAGGGCAATACTCACTTGGAAGGATAAGTCAATAAGTTAACCTGTATGTGTTAACTGTTAGTCATTCCTTAAAAGATGACTGATAATAAAAGCAGACATCAAGTAATTTGAGGGTGGGGGGATGGGACACTATGGGTAGAGGGATGGTCTACCACTGAGCTACAACCCCAGTCCTTTATATTTTTTATTTTGACATATGGTCTCAATAAATTGCCTAGATTGGCCTTGAACTTTTTGATCCTCCTTATCTAAGCCTCCCAAGTAGCTAGGATTATAGGCAAGCACCAATGCACCAGTAATCAGGTACTTTTACACAAATTTCATGTCAAAAATAGATTATATGGATACCAGGTCATGCTCAGAACTTTCAGAGTTCTTAGTGTTTAAGCCCAAGTCTTGAGGATTAAAAACAGTTAATGTATTTAATTATATTTGTGGAACTACTGGAAGTAGAACTTACATTTAAATATATGTGTATATGTATAAAAGTTACATTACATTTAACTATGTAAATAAAAAATTTAAAATTTCAGTGCAAATACACTGTCATAATGCGTATGCTAATAAGACAGTTCATATAAGTCAAGTCAAACCAATTTTGAAGGTGTAACACTGAAAGGGAATGTGCAAGTAAGAAAAGCTCTGCAGAAGCAGGGCATGGTAGCACACACTGTAATCCCAGTGACTCAGGAGATTGAGGAAAGATCACAAATTTGAGGACAGTACTGGTAACTTATTGGGATCCTATCTCAAAGTAACAAATGGTTGAGGGTGTGTATCTTGGTAGAACACCCCTGGGTTCAAACCCCAGAACCACAAAATAAATAAATATTTAAAAAAAAAAAAAAAACTTTGCAGAAAAGTTGTTGATCGTATTGGTTTCTTTAAAGCTACTCAGTGGCCTTTGCTACCTTAGCTCCTCATAGAAATCTGCACCCAAAAAWGCCCTTCTAAATTCCATGATGGTAGTGACACTTTCTGGTCTGTTACTAATTAAGGTATAACCCCCAGTATACCCAATTAATACAAATGTCATCTGATAAAAATGTACAATGGCCTTATTTGAACTTTGACACATTCTATAAAATTTTTATATGTAACTAGCAACCAATGTTTCATATTTTATTATCCCAGGAACTATAAAGAACTATGACTAAGAAATAACATTATTTCAAACTGAGGTTAAATGACTTCTGGACTGTTTCATATCCCATAATTTCAATCCTGATAATGCAGCGATGTGAAGGTCCCTCCCTAAATTTCCTTATAACCTGCCTCAAGACAGCATGAAGAAAACTAAAACTAAAATAGGCTACCTTAAGGATGGTTGGGAGGGGGGACTTAAAAAGAAAAAAGAATGGTGTAGGGAGAGGAATCTATCAGGGTTATTAATTTTTAAATGTTTTTTGAGTTCTGTGATGTTTGTGGGGAAATAAACATTTTTTGTAATAAAGAGAGTCAGAAAATCTATAGACTGATGAGATTGCCAATTTATGCAGATACCAAAATCAATTTACAACCTGAAAGACTCAGAGGGGGCAAAGTATAACTGAAGCATTAAGAAGCTCATCATTTTTATTGAAAAAGGTGATTATTATTTATTTTCAAGTCATCTTAAACCAAGATAATAGATGTTGCTAAAAGGGTAATACAAATTTTCCCAATTGTCAAACAATTCTGCCTATTTCCAAGTTACTAAGTATTGAATGCAATTTATATTTAGTGATTTATACCATAAAAATATGCTGTGAAACATTTGTAGCATTTATGTTTTACTGCTCTAGCTATATGCCATCAAATTCATATGCTTGCTCTATTCTTTCTTGTCAGTTCAGAACCTGTTTTTAAGTCATGTTCCATTGAGTGACTCATAAATTAAAGACATTTGTAAAAAACAGCAAAAAAAAGAAAAAAAATTATTAATTTTTCAATTTCAGACTCAACTAAAAGGTTAAATTCAAGTTTAAATTCTACTTTTCATAGCTTCAGTCCTATAACAATAAAGCATCAAAAATTTTAGACAAACCGAAAAGAAATTAAAATAAGCCATTAAATTAAATTAAAAAGCCTAGCTAACCATTTAAAAGGACAATGATTAAACAACAAGAAAATTCTTCCTATGCTGGGTACAGTGGAAGGTGCCCGTAATCACAGCACTTAGGAGAATCACTTGAGCTCAGAACTTCAAGGTAGCCTTAAAATAGCCTTAAAATACCCAGCCTGGGTAAAAAAGTCAAGGAAAAATAAAACACCTCTCCATGAATATTTTCCCCATCCAATTACAAACAATAAATTTTCCTAAGGTAATTATTTTTTATGAATCAGATCCAAATGAAAACACAAAAGAAATGTTTGCCATAAATTTCACCACACTATGAGTTTAGGGTCATGTTTTCTCAACTCTGCAACATCTTAGTCTCTCCTGAGTGAATTAGACAATCCTGGGGGTGCCACGAGAAACAGCAAAAAGCTGCAATCAGGTAGCACTGTTTTCCATACTGAGATTCAGCATACAAATGCAGTTCTTTAAAAATTTGTTGTTGAAAAATCACATTTACCTGAGCATACAGTGCATAGCCTTCAGCACACCTTGGAAATTTCTTTATGACCTCTTCAAAACCTTTCATAGCTGCCTGGATTTGTGAAGAATTGTTTCCTGTATATGCCTGGCGATACTATTTAAAAAAAACAAAACATATCTGTCAAACCAAGAATTCAACAACTTCTAGAACATATTATAGAAAACACAAAATTACATAATTCTTTCCAGAAAAGCAGGTGATTTGTTATAATTTGTTGTGCCCAAAGGGTTTCAAGGAAATATCACAGCAGCAGGGAACCAAAGAGCTAGCCTCAAATTTGGCAATTACAGGTTTGCGCCAGTGTGCCCAGCTACATGGAGGAATTTTTTTTTTTTGGGGGGGGTGGGGGAGTACCAGGGATTGAACTCAGGAACAACTGACTACAGAGCCACCCCCCCCCAGCCCTATTTTGTATTTTATTTAGAGTAGGGTCTCACTGAGTTGCTCAGTGCCTCACTCTTGCTGAGGCAGGCTTTGAACTCATGATCCTCCTGCCTCAGCCTCCTGAACCGCTGGGATTATGTGTGTGCACCACCATGCCCGGCAACATGGGGGAATTTTTAACTTGATAAATTTTTGTCTCATTTTTCATCTATGAGTGTGTTTATATTGTAAATGCAATTTCTTTTTTTAAAAGGAAAATTCTTCTAGGACTCTGGTTACTTAATTTTAATAAATTCACCTTTTCAGTTTTGTGTTTCTGAGTGTCAAGGAACAGCTCTATAAAGGAAGAACAAATACAACAGTTATGTGGTCATGATTATAAACTATTTCCTCAAAATGCTTTTTTTTYCCTATGCTGTTCTATTCTAGAAAAGCAGACCAGTTCTGTTTAGGACAGCATAAACCCAGGATCAAATATCTGTCAAGATAAACTCAAAACACCTAGAGAAATACAGGAGGTATATATGAGTTAACATATATGCTTATTAGTATTCTGTACCCCCTGTAGTCATCCTTTGGGTGAAAAACAGATTTTTCTGAAAGACAATGAGATACTCATTTCTGTTGACCCTGCAAATAAAAATAATTAGGAATTACAAAACAAAGTAGTACTTACCAATGCAAAACATTTCTGAGCTTGTGCCAGAGCAGACTCAGGTCTTAATCTAATACATTCATCAAAATCTGCCACTGCTTCTTCAACTTGATCAAGCAGTATTTTCAGCTAGGGAAAAAATACATAAATGCAATTCAAAATAATAAAACTAAATGTCAATAGGTACCCAGTGTCTCTTCTGTTATCATAGCTAATATTCAGTATGTAGTAATTATTCAATACCGAATTAATTTGTAGAAACAATAAACTAACCTATAATTAAGACAAATGTTCAAGATGAATTAAGTAAAGGCCAATTCAAATTGTAAACTATTATAATTTTTTTCACAGCTATTGGAAATGATGTAAGAAAATCAAGAAATTCTCAAAACTGTTTACCAATAACTCAATCTATAGATCAGAACTCTAGGTGAGAAACAAATTTACCTGTCCTCGGTGGTGATAAACATCTGCATTCTGAGGATCAATGTCAGCAGCCATGTTAAAATCCTGAGTAGACAGCAAAGGCTGCTGCTGTTGCATGTACATGCTGCCTCTTTTGATGAGGGCGTTTGCTCGAAGCTATGGACCCCAAAGAAAAGGTTCATCATTACTCCCCCCGCCACACAATTTAGTTGTTTGAAAAAACAAACTGATGGAATTTACATGCTATAAAGGTCATCCCTTTAAAGTGTACATGTCAACAGTTGTTTTTAGTATCACTATCACTAGACTGTGCATGGATCATTCAGAATATTCCATCATCCCCCTCCCCCACCAAAAAAACTCCATACATGTTAACAGCCACTTCATTCTCTCCTACTCTCTATCCCTTGAAAAAACCACTCATCTCCTTTTCATTTCTATGGACTTGCATATTCTGGATGTTTCATATATAACGTGGTCTTTTTTTTTTTTTTTAATACTGCTTCTTTCATTTAGCAAATGCTTTTAAAGTTCATGTGTGTCATAGCATATATTATCCATCCTTTTTTTTATGGCTGAATAACATTTCATTGTAAAGATATATCACGTTTTATTTATCCATTCATCACTTGATGGACACGGGGGTTCCTTCTATCTTTAGTTATCATGAATAACAATGCTATGAACATTCATGGATACATCTGGTATATACTGAGGAGTGAAACTGTTGGATTACATGGTAACTGTATATTTAACTTTTTAAGAAACTGGCAAAAAGGTTCTACCATTTTACATTCTCACCAGCAAYAGAAGGTTTCAATTTTTCTACATCCTTACCAATGCTATTATCCATCTTTTTGACTTACATCCTATTGTCTGTTTTTACTATATAGCTATCCAAGTAGGAATGAAGTGACATCTCATTGTGGTCCCCTCATCACCATTCTGGAGACTGAACCCAGGACTTCGTACAGGCAAGTGCTCTACCATTGAGCCTTTTTTTTTTTTTTTTTTTTTTAAACCCCTACCCATCCCCTTAATTTGAGAAAGGGTCTCAATAAGTTGTTCAAGTTAGCCTGGAACTTCCCTGCCTCAGCCTCCCAAACAGCTAGGATTACAGCTATTTGCCAATATGCCCAGCTCTCATTGTGCTTTTGATTTACATTTTCCTAATAACTACTGATGGTAAGCATATATATTTTCATGTTATTACTAGCCATTACAAGCCCTTACCAGATAAATAATCTATGAGTGTTTTCTCCCATTCTATGGAAGGTGTTTTTCTCTTTTTTATACAAAAGTTTTTAAAAAAAWTTTAATTAGAGCAGTATAATTATACACAGTATTTGGGTTCATTGATAAAATTATTTATACAAGGAATATGGTTTCAATTCCCACTCCCCCTTTTCCCCTTTCTCTCGCTCCCTATTTTCTCTCCTCAACTCTAATCTTTTCAATCCTTTATTTATTTTTCACTAATGCTTTCTACATAAACATAAAGGTGAAATTTCCTTTGGTACCTTTACATGTGACTATAACATGATTTTGTTAAACACATTCCAAATTTCTTCCCCTTTCCCTTCCTTCCTCCTTCCCTCTTGTTCTCTTCCTTCTATTCCACTGATATCCCCCTATATCTTGATATCGATCTCATCTCCAACTGTCTTCTTTCCCTTATTTTGCTCTAGCTTCCATGTATCAAGAAAACATTCAACCCTTGATTTTTTGAGCCTGGCTTACTTCGCTTAGCATAGTTATCTCCATTCCTATCCATTTACCAGCAAATGCCATTATTTCATTCTTCTTTGTGGCTGAGTAAAACTCTATTGTCAAACATAAAAGTTTTTAATTTTGATGAAGTCCAGTTATCTTTTTTTGGCTATTTGTGTTTTCAGTGTCATACCTCAGGAACCCCTGCCTAATAGTATTATAATAAGCATTTACTCATCTGTTTTCTTCTAAGAGTTTTATATTCTAAGCTCTTACATTTGGAAATCTGATCCATTCTGGGTTAATTTTATACATGGCATATAGCAGACATCTTTACTACTTGCTGTTAATTAAAAGTTCTGATTAAAAAAACAAATAGGGGCTAGGGATATAGCTCAGTTATATCAAGGTAGAGTGCTTGCCTCGCATGCACAAGGCCCTGGGTTCAATCCCTAGCCCTAAAAAAATAAAAAAATATTTGTTCAAAGCAACACTATGTAGGTCAATTACATGTATATATAAAACGAGAATGGCCCCCCACATTCTTAAAAAAAAAAAAGTTTAATGCCCTGTTTCAAAAAAATAAAAAGGGGCTGGGGATGTAGGTCAGTGGTAAAACACCCCTGGGTTCAATCTCTAGTACCACAAACAAACAAACAAACAAACAAACAAAACCCAAAGAAATAATAGATCACAAGTCTTCACAAATATCAGCAGGAAACACATTAGGAAGTTATCGTCAACTAGAAAATCTAATTTTGAAACTTTTACAAATTTTAAGCTTTAAAAACAACTTTTATATTCCCCAATATATGAATGATTCATTTGGAAGTGAAAGAAACTACTGAGTTCACTTAATTCAATGAAGAAACAGGCTACAGAGATTATAACACTAAGAAGGAATGTAGTTAACAGTTGGCTAAGTTGTGTCTTGTAGCACTAAGTAAAAGAATCATGTAATTCAAGATATCCCCATCTTAATTATGAAAATTATCACAAACACATTAAGAACACTTGGAAAATGAAAAGCTATCCCAACCACACAACTACAAAAAATTTCAGTATAGGTATATATCACATTTTTAGAATCATTATTTCCTTCCTATAACACAAAATATATTGTAGTTTTAGAACCTGTTTTTTTTTCTTCCTATAACAAAACCTTTCTTCTTATTTGTTTAGTCTCATTAAACATGTTTATAATCTGGTATTATGGATCTCAAGCTACCTACAGTAGTACCAATAACATTGCTACATTATCCTTATCATTATCCAAACATAGTCCAATACAGTAGGAAATAGCTACACTGGGAAGCTGAAACTACTAGATGTTACAAAAAAAATTACTTTCCTAGTTGAAGATACATATTATTAATATTTATCTTTTAGATTCACTACTCCTATTTTTTCAGCATTAGGTATAATTTCATCTGAAGCAAAAATACCCTTTTGGAGAATGACAAGTAAAATGCTAAAATAGCTGGCAAAATATCTATAAAAGCATCATTTCTATTTATTAAATTTTTCACATGCACATGCAGTTCAAAATGTACCTTCACATTAGCTTCTTTCAAACTGATGACCTTATCTAAATCAGGTTTGGCTGCATTGGCATTGCCAATAAGCAGGTAGAAGGTAGCCCGGAGTAATAATGCTTCTGCCATGTATTTGCCTTGAGCTTCTATTTCTTTTGAGCATTCACTTATGATTTTGTCATAGTTTTCTTCTTCCATGTACTGTTTGGCTTTTAAATATCCAGAACTGAAGATGAAAACAAACAGAGGTAATGATTTACTATGAAAGGACCAAATGCTAAAATCTTGCCACATTTACCACACCTATGTTAAGTAATTATCTATGTTGCCTTAAGAAGTTAATCAACCAGTGTGGAACTGGAGTTGGAAGGTAGAAGTTAAATGAATTAGGATTTATGAGGCAAAATGAGTTTTTCCTGATGGCTTAGTTGGCTGTTAAAAAGAACCTGCAGAGTCAATGGCAGAATTCTGAAGTTAACACCTTGGCTTGGATACATCAAAAGATGAGCTAATCAAAGACACAGACTTGTCTGTAAGGATCCTGGCTTATTTTCCTTCCTGTCTGGCACATTGATAACACTCAACAGTTGTTTAATGCCCAACAGAGGAACAGAGAAATAGAAGCAAAGGTAAGAAGTATTATCAGAGCAGGGCTTTGTAAAGATCACTGTTTTGCGGAGCACAGACTGAAAAAGGGAACAAGATTGAAGACAGGTAATTACTAATGGACTCCTCTTACAGAAGATTCACGTGTTACCTAGAAGAACAGACCTAGAGTTATTAACTGGACTTATTAAAGAAGAAAATTTAAAGGAAGACTCTCTTATCAAATAGGACTTTAAAAGATGCTTGTTTTTAAAACTGCAGTGAGCACAATATTGCTTATTATTCTTTTAAGGTATTAACTTGATACATTTCAGTAAAAACCATACTTTGAATTCTGATCTTACCATGGGCTGGTGATATGCGATATAATACTCTTGTATGATTCTATGCAGTGGCAGCAAGCCAGTTTCCAGTGAGCCATGGGATCATGAGGACAAAACCAATACTCTACAGCGTACTATGTTGCTCAGTTATAATACACAGTAGCTTAGGTATAGTAAAATACATTTGACTTATGGTATTTTCAACCTTTGACATGTTTATTGGAATATAACTCCATTAAGTCAAGGAACATCTGTATAAGACAGTATAAATTATATTTTCTCATTGCAGTTGTTATATTAGGTATAAAGAAAACTGGCATGCAACTTAAAAGTTATATCAATTAAAATATTTTAACTTTGCACTAACATTTTCTATAATCACATTCTAATAGTTCTTATACTCTCTTTTATTCTTTAGGTCACTGGGCTAACAAATAGAAACAAATCAAAAGTAAAAAGTTACTCCTTGTTGAGAACTGAAGCGCTAAGTATATACAATCATGATCTCTAAACCCCCCAAAAACCCTGCAAGGTAACTATTACTAAACTCCTAAATAACCCTGCAAGATAACTATTACTAGCTTCATTTAAAAGATGATGAAGCTAAGGCTACGAGTCAAAAAAAGAATTTAGAAATTTGAGGACAAATCCAGTTAGTGTTCTGATGAGAACTAGCTATGTCCTGTCATCTCTCAATATAGCTCTTAAAATAATTAATTTCACTTAGTTTTTATGAAAGAAAGACTATTTCCTTACCAGAAGAGGAAATTATTTACATCAATGTCACCAGAGATATCAGTTATCTCAAACATTTATTTCCCAACTATGATTTTTAAAAGAATATATATCAATTAATATTTGTACATCTAAAAAGTGGCAACAACAATAGAAAAAGTGGGAGATAAAGATCAAAAACAATCTGCTTTCCAAACCCTCTAATGCTTTAGATGTAAAAATCCAGTTATATTTTACTACTTGAACAATATTGCTCTTCCATCCAAAATCATTTAAAAATGTCATGTTGGTACTAATACTGTGCCTTCTCTTAGAGGAGAGTCAGATTTCACTGCAAAACACAAGTGATAAATAATGAATGGGAAGCAGGCTAGATGGCATAAACTACCTTATATGGCTAGATCTCCAGTTGTAAACATAGCATCATGTGCTTTGGTTTTAGCTCTCTAAAAGATCAATCATCAGAAGTCTAAAAAATGGTAATTTCCTGGGCAAGCAGAAAAAACCTTGAAGAAATTTACTCCTTAAGCACTCCTAAGCACCTCACAACATATAAACTAAAAATAAGCTGGCTCTAACATTTGGGTGTTGAGCTACACGATAATTTTCAAGTTAGTGCCTCTATTCAAACCACCTGACTTGAGAATATCACAAAGGACTTAAAAGCAGGTTAGTCGTGGCAGTAAAAAGTTGAGCCACCAGAAAAGTAACAAACACACAGTAGAAAGAGAAGTATTTTTACAATAATAATGATAATATAGACTTTTTTTATTATCTATCCATATCTGTGGATAGATAACCCATTTAAGCTCAAGGATAAATACATGGCACCAAAAAAGCTGTTCAGTAGACACCATGCTTAATATACTTACTTTTCTTTTACTTCTAACGCTTCTCCTTCCTTGTCTTTATCTTCATCAGATTTCTCTCCTTTCAGCATGGGCTGAGAAATGATATCATCAGTGAAAGAACTGAAGTAAGATTTGATAAACTGTGGAGATGGCATCAGAGGTTCACGATTCTGAAATTTAACCATGTTTTAAACTTATTGAAATGAGAAAACACTAATCAAGAAAAAGGATACACACAGCAGAACACTAAGAATAACTGTTACAAAAAAATGTTAAAATCCATTTACCCTGGGCTTTCCTCTGAAGATTTCCATTACTGGCAAAAACCACTGAAAGTCATATTGCATTTAAAAAAATGGTAATTTCCTGGGCACATTTCCTATATTAATTATTTATTTTTGGCATAGCTACTTGATTCATAATTTTTTGAGTTCTTATTTCTCCTTATGAAACATAATTTTTGAAAGTTTTAACTAAAGATGAAGTAACATAGCCAAAGAGCTCTATTAAGATTTATTATATTTGTTTTGTGGTATTGGGGATTGAATCTGGGGTGTCTGCCAAACATTTTTGAGACAGGATCTCCCTAAGTTGCCAATGCTGATCTCAAACTTGCATTTTTCCTGATTCAGTCTCCTAAATGGCTAGGCTTACAGGTGTGTGCCATCAGAACCCAGCCAGCCCTCCATAAGATATTTTTTGGACTTTTTTCAAAATTAAACCCAACAGGTTTAAAATGAAAATATGATATTTAATTTTTATGTATAACAAATGTCATCATTATTATCTTGGTAGATTTTAATGTCTTTGTATTTAAAGAGGAAAAAAGGAATCTGGCTTTGTAAGTAAATTATCTAATCTCAGATAAGTGTAGGATAGAAGAAAACTGAAAAAGAAATCTAAGGGGGACCTCATTGCTACAATTGTGCTATGAATGTGTCCCCAGTGCAACACTGTTGGGAGTTTGGACTTTATAAGAAGTGATTAAGTTATGAGGCTTCTATCCTCAAGAATGGATTATTATCATTATTTGAGAAGTGGGTTAGTTATCAAAATAGCAGATTTCTTATAAAAAAAAATCAACTCTTGTACCTCTATAGAATGACACAGCACAAAGACACTTACAGATGCCAGCACCTTGATACTGAACTGAACTTCCTAGCCTCCAGAACTATAAGAAACAAATTACTTTCTTAATTACCCAATCTGTGGTATTCTGTTATAGTACTACAAAACACCTGTATTTATCTTCCTGCTTTCCCTGGGAAGAGATTCAATTTGTCTTAGAGTAAAACAAAAAAATATTTTGAATCAAAGGGATCACTTATCAAGTGACAAATATGCCTCACTTCAACATTTCACTAAAGACAGATCTGAGAAGAAATATATAGTGGCAATCATTTATCACTTTATGGGAAAAGCTTAAATAGAAATGTAAATAGCATTTACTAGAAATTGGGTAAATTACTAAGTCTTTTAGTTTCCCATTTTAGCTTAGAAATGAGGCTACCACCTCCCAGCTTTCCACATGTGGTTAAAATTTTAAAATAAAAATAYTATTCTATAAGCAATGGACTTAACTATCACAGGAAAAGGATAAAAATTCTGCCATTTATTAGTTACACGACCTCATTCATGTCATTAACCCTCTAGTTCTCATCTCTAAAATCACAATTGAAATACTTCCCATATTTATTTTATAGGGTTGTTAAAAAAATCAAAATAATATGAAAAGTATTCTGCGATTTACAAAGTAGCATATAAAGTGATTAAAAAATATGTGAAAAGCAATATGTAACCTATGCAAATAGAGGTTATTTGTATTTTCTTAGCACTTTTGCAAACCAACTAGTCTACTCAAAAGTGACATTCTGTAAACATATACAAATAAACCAGATTCCTTCAAGTCTCAATTATGAGACCCTAATATGATGTTTCACAAAGCGTTTTTGAGGAATACCAGCCTTATAAGATACTCAAGGAAAAAAAGTTCCATAGTTTTAAGAGACTGAGACCTATTAGTTATATTCTTCTTATACTTTCACAACACATTTTAGTATATTCAAGTCCTAAAGTGAAGAAACCTGTTTTAAACTGTGTAATTCCACTAACATTTGGAGATGAAAATTACACACACACACACACACACACACACACACACACACGTATATGTAATGAATCTTTTGCTACTCTCCTAGAACTCTACTTACTTCTTCCCTTGACCACTTAGCTACAACAGGTCTTTTACACTTAGTAACAGTCTCTCTCACTAAATTGTAATTCTATAAGGTAAGGGACCCTATTCCTCCAGCATAGAACTTTAATAACTATTTGTTGAATTAAATAAACTATTTCTTTAAAGGCCAGGTAATAAATAGAGGTGGACTCCAATGTTCTCCAAGTACAGCACTCAATAAAGTCTATAGTACAACTGAAAAAGGATATACCATAAACTCAAGCTCAAGGGAAAAAAAGAAATATAATCCAGTTACAATTTCAGTTGTTACCCTTATCACCATGCCTAAATTCAAGTAGCATAAATTAAAAATTACTCTTTATAATGTATTACCCCCACCACCACCACTACCCAACTCAGATTAACTTACTTTGTATTTTTCTTTGGCTTTCTCTTTTCCAAGAAGTTTAAGAACTTTATCAGCTAAGAGCATGCTTTGTTGATTTTGGAACCCTTCTAATATACATACAGCAGTGACATCTAAAAGTGATGGAAACATAAGTATTAGTATGAAAATACTGTAGTTTACAAGATAGGTGGTTCCTTAACCATTCAAAATATTCAAAACAATGGCTGTCCCTTCTCTTTCTGAACTCAATTTTCTCACAATTCTACATCTTTGCTTCTCTGAACAAATCAGTCTATTGTTACATTCCCTTGATAACTTTGGCTAGTGACAATGTCTTTCTTTTTCTTATCCCTTTTCTTCTAAAACTCCAATTTAGGTTACCCCTTTCTAAACCAACACTCCTATCAAATGTCACAATACCAGAAAACCTCAAATTTTGCTAAAATGTTCTCTAAAGCATTTGCATTTGATAATGCAGACCTTTAAAAAAAAATGAGCCTTTTAAAATGTTACTTTGGTCTAATGACAAAGTGATAGGTGTGCTTTCCATTTGTGAGATCCTGGGTTGGATCCCCAACATGTGGGGGAGGGGATCTTTATAACAACACTAATTATGGCTAAATCTTATTGATGTTTTAAAAGCAAATCTGAACATGTAGCAGAAAGCACTTTTATGCTGTAGATATTACACTCTGGTTTTAAGCTTCACGTCACCTAGAAAAATGTACTTTAAAAGTCAGTGTTCTATTATTTTAATTGCAGTTTTGGAAGCAGAAAAGGCCAATTAAAGGCAGTAGAACATTTATAGCATTTATTAAGAATAACAAATTCACTTGAATGTTTTGTACCAGTTACATAATTTGCAATTGGGCATAAGATGTCTGAAAATATGAAGGACAAAAAAAGTGTTTTCTCTAAGACTCAAGTAATTTCATATTTATATAGGATATTAACTGAAAACATGTAGAATCTTAGAAACACTATCACTTGCTAAAACCTTTTTTCTAGTTTTCTTACTCATGGAGTTATATACCAATCCTTACTAAATGCCAAACTTAAAATGTGTGGTGTATAAGCTCCAAATTTTAATACCCATTTAACACCATAGTTGAGAACAAAGATAATATTTAAATATCAGCAATTTCAATTTAAACTAAAAAACAATTGGGGAAAAATTTAACTTTTTATTAAAGAGAATTAACTGATTTATCTGCTCACAAGATAAAGTTTCATATATATTTACTAATGACCACAACATCTCTAATAACTTTTATATGTAAAAACAAAAACATTCTTACCTTCTAAACATTCCTTCTTATTGTCTAACTTTTCATGGGCTTTTGCACGTCTGAAGAGAGCTTTCACATATTTGGGATTAAGTTCAACAGCCTTTGTACAATCTTCGGCCACCTCTTTCCATTTTTGCTATAATTTAAAATATTGATAAGAATTGAAATTATCAGAGTCACACTAATAAAAGTACTGTTCAACAGACATCAGTTTTCCAGACTTAGCAGGCCAAGTATTTGTAGTCCTATAATAAAAAAATGTATTCCCAGTACAAAGAATTAATATCTACTATATACTATAAAAGCTCATACAAATATCTGTGCTAAGGCAACCAGATATTTTTTAATAAGGCAACGGACATACTTAGGACATCTTTCTACCTCCAAATCTCCAAAATACCTGCAGCTTTTTCATACCATTTCCTTCTTTGCTCCTATTAAAACTGAGGAAACACCCATTTTCATCAAAAGCTAACCCTTCTCTAATGATCTGGATCAAGGACTTCACTCTTTCAGCTATCTCTTCTCTGCTTCTCTTCTAAGCCATTTCTATAACTATAAAAACACTTGCTCTAGTATAGTCCATCTTTTAAAATTCCTTATTTGATTGTGTAACTCCCTACAGCTATCCCCCTCCAACCCCAAGGGCCAATATTCCAGAGTYGCCACTTCACTTGATTTCTACCTATCTCACTGGCAGTTCCTTCTCAGTTTCCTTTTTGAATTCTCTCCCTCTACTTGATCTCTACATGCTGGAATCTTCATGGTCTCATCACTTCTCTTTCCCTATACGATTATATCTACTGTCTGTCTTTCTATAATATCTAAAATAAGGTTCTTAAATTTATCTCTAGCCCAGATCACTTTCCTAAAATACAGACATTTCTCAAGTTGTCTACTCAGCTGTCTCATTCCTTTCCACCCACTGGTATTAAAATCCTTGCTTTTTGCCTTTCACATCCAATTCAAGAGGCAAGTTTCGTTGGTCTTCAGTTTCCTTCATGTCACACTGAGGTTACTGCAATACCTTTACCTGGGTCTTCCCAGTGACCATTCTGGGTTTTTTTTGACAGAACAGTATGAGCAATCTCGGATAATGTTCTTGCCCCGCTTAAAAACTTTAAATGTTTCCATTATACTCAGAATCAAATCCAAACTCTTTAATATTACCTATAAAGTTTTTCCTGATCTGGTTTTTCCAATTTCATCTCTCTTAATGCTCTATAGGAACTTTCATGCCTCTTTAAAAACAACGAACTCTCTCTTGCCTCCAAGCAAATAACATAATATTGCTTTTATTTATAATATTTTCTTCTCCATTATTCTGTGTATCAATCTACCCATATAAATATACAATGATCCTAACATGTAGCCTTTAAAAAGAATGAAACATCTGCATATGCTGATGTTAAAAGGTGTAAGAGATATTGTGACAACTGAAAAAAAAACCAACATACTTAAAAGGAATTCATCTTTGGTATTTTTCCCTCTTACATACATGTAACTATTCAGATACAGGTTGAGAAATAGATGAAGACAGGGTCACAAGAAAACTTTAATTTTCTATAAAAACCAATTTTATAAAAGCTGAAATAAATATAACTTTGAAGTACATTTGTAGCCAGCAAAACTAAATTTAATTTCCAAAGATTTTTTTAATTAAAGGAAATTAAGAACAAAAATCCTGAAATTTCAAAATAACTTCAAAAAATATATTAGATTTGAGTAGCAGTAACTGAAATTTTAAGAAAATATAGAAAAGTAAAAGGCACAGAGAAAACAATCTAGAGTACATACCAACTGTTCAAAGGCAGCAGCTCTGTTTTGATAAAACGTGGAAAGGTCGACATTCTTCTCTGTAGGGCATAAACTAATAGCCTCAGTATAGCACTGAATAGCTTGTTCATATTTTCCTGCTTTAAAATATTTATTGCCTTTGTTCTTGGCTGCTTGGGCTCTATCAAGAGAGTTCTGAAATGAGAGGAAACAATTACCTAAAACTGATAATCAACATTTGTGAATAGACTCAGACCACAGTGATTAAATGATAAAGTGATAAAAGAATAATGGGAGAACAGGATGACTGTTATAGAGCGAGTTGCTTCATATAAATAACTACATTTGATAGAATCTTACTAGAAGGGTTGAGCCAAAAGGTTTATATTTTTTAATTTTAAAAAATTCAGACTTTTTCAGTGCTTTAAATACCACTGTCCCATCATTCCTGTCAGCAATTAGAAGCAATGATAGCATTCAATTGTTTTCAGTATAAAGGATATTAATTAAAACAGTGGTTCTCAGCCAAGGGTAATTTTACCCCCTTGTTTTAGAAAAACCCAGTTTCAGGATATCAGAACCAGCCACCAAAGGTAGAATATACCGTAAGATTAAAGAAAGAGGCAGCAAGGCTGGAAGATACCCATACCCCAAGGTAGAAAGAAGGGAGTTATATGCTTTGGTGGGCTGTAGCCAACCAGAATGTACCTGGCCGTTAACAAAAACTATCAACAGGTCCAACTTCAGTTAAGAAACAGTCTAGGCAAATGTGGCTAGCCTGGTACAACAAACTTGGCTGACCATCTCACAACTTTTTGTCCTGTAGAGTTTGAGATGTGTGTCAAGGTTAACCAAAAGACAAAATCAGTTATGACCAAGACAGCTGTGGTCATGTCAAGCTGGAGCCCTACAGGATATTTGACAATGTCTGGAAATATTTCTTCTTCATTTTTTGTTTTTGTTTAGTACTGGAGGTGGAACTCCAGGCATCCTATATGCTATGCAAATGCTCTACTACTGAGCTAAATTCTCAACCCTGGAAACATTTTTGATTACCACAATGAGGAAGAGAGGTGCTACTAACATCAAGTAGATAGAAACCGGAAATGCTCCTAACATGATTGGATCCAAAATATCAGCACTGCCAAGGTTGAGAAACTGGTACAAAATAATATTACAATATTATTTTTAATTTGCATTTTCTTCACTATTCATGTTTATTGGGTATCTGGTTTTCTTGTTCTAAAAACTTATTCAGTTTTTTTTCCTGCTCTTTTTCCATTAGGTTGTTTGTTAACAGTGTAGAATAGTTAGTATATAAAAACACTCTTGGCATTTTCACTACTGCTGTTATTCTATCATTTGCCATCAACAGACCTCCTATATATGAATCTGTCTCAGATCTGCTTTCTGTAGGACCCAAAACAAAACACATACACATCATGGAAAATGTGGAAGAATGGGTAGCTAATACCTACTGAGGACAGTTATGAAAACTTCTCTGTGGATAAAGCCAGTTGTCCAGTTCTAATCAATAATTTCAAAAGTTTTATGATATGTTTTTATGCAAAACTTGATTGTTAACATCATCTAACTTTAATACAGGACTACAGAAGAATATATACCTCTAATAGGTAAATACTGAAACAAAAGCAACTGCCCCTCAAAAATAATTTAAAGAATCTGTGAAAGCCAACTTGCTTGGGGCTCAGGGTATCTCTTAAGTTACATAGATGAGGTGGAGGTACCACTGTACTCACTCTTCTCTATTCTTACTTAATTTTTCTTTCCTGATTTCCCCCTCCATTTACCTTTTGTTTACCTTTTTTAGTATCACAGTACAGCTGCTGTATTTTTTTTTAAGTACAGTGTACAAAAAAGGACATGTAGGAAACTCAAAAGTATGTAAGTTCATAGTATAACAGACAATTTAAGTCAGCTAATGTCAACAAGAAATATGTGTATTTTAAAAATTGAGTATGGGAACATGAAAGGAGCCAGGAAAAGCACAAATTAAATAAATGCAAAATCTACCATTTGCAATAGATTTAAGCATTTCCCCAAAGCTATGAAATTTAAGCTAATTAGCAACCTTGACACCCATTTCAATGAAAATAAGATAGAACTAAGCTGACAGAGACACAACCACAGAACACAAGAGAAGACAACTGAGAATCCCTTATTTAGAATCCCTTATGTATAGGCCCTGAGAAGCAACAATAATGGTTACYGTTGGAAAACTTGCATTTACTACACCTCTGCAATCCTCATTTCACTGGAGAGAGTAAGTCAGATTAGAGCTTTGTGTCATCCAGATGGAGTGAAGATCCCCTTTAACCAAGGGACAAGTGACATGCATACTTTACCTCTCTCTTACAAAAGACCACACAATAAGGAATAGCTAACAATAAAGGAAAATCAACACATAAAAGAGAGGCACCCAACTCAAATAGATAACTAACATCTGAGAAAGCAGGATAAAACAAATAAACAGAAAAAAATTAGAGGCCAGATGCTAGGATTGAACCTAGGGCCTTATGCAAAGCACATGCTCTACCCAGCCCTCCCAAAAAATCTTGAAAACTACACAAGTGCATTTACCCTAGAAATCCCAGCTACTGGGCAGGCTGAGGCAGGAGGACCACAAGTTCAAGCCAGCCTGGGCAACTGAGCAAGACCCTGCTTAAAAATTGAAATATAAAATATTAAAAAGGGACCAAAGGGTGGGAGTGTAGTTCAGTGGTAGAGCACCCCCAGGTTTAATTTCAGTACTGCATTAAAAAACAGAAAAGAAAGAAAGAAAGGCAATACAACAGGGATTGTACCTAAAAGCTACTGATCTGGATCTGATAGAATTAAGGGCAAAAAGTTGGTTAGCACAATGATCATTTAGCAATCAACATCAGCCTTCTGCTATGTCAGGAACTTGATCCTATTTCATAATGCTAGGGCCAAAATCAGGCAGAAATTAAAATAAACATTCTGAAGGAAAGTCAAAACAGAAAATATACTACTACCAGTTTTTTTTTTTTTTAAAGATTTTATTTATTTATTTATTTATTTATTTATTTTTTAGTTCTCGGCGGACACAACATCTTTGTTTGTATGTGGTGCTGAGATCGAACCCGGGCCGCACGCATGCCAGGCGAGCGCGCTACCGCTTGAGCCACATCCCCAGCCCCAACTACTACCAGTTTTTCAATAGAAGAAATTTTAATTTCATCCCAGAGAAATCTTTGTTACTGCTTTTCAAAGTCATTTTTCCTACTACCTTCTCAAGCTACACTAAAACTTTTTAGAATTAAAGGCCAAAGTTGGAAAATAAACAAACCCAAAGAAAAATTTGAAAGYTTATTTTTATAAACAAAAAACAAAGACAGAAAGATCCAAAATGTAATGGGAACATCCTGAAATACTAGTATTTTTCATGTGCTTTATTTTCCCCATTCAAAAGCTACTAAGGAGACTTGAAATTAGTTTCTAACTGATCTGAAGAACTGTTTTAACAAGTTAAGTTGGATCATRTCTTCCTTTTCCTGTCTCCTTCAAAACCTCCAGTAACTAGTACATGGCCTGCATGACTCTACATATACAGTTATTATACTACAGCCACTTGAGCCTCCTACATATAACTTGGTTGGTTCAAAGGACACTAATCTCATCAGGTGCTGTGATGTGTGCTTGGAAACCCAGTTACTTGGGACTCTGAGGCAGGAGGATTGCTTGACAGGAGTTTAGGGCCAGCATGTGCAATACAGTAAGACCTCATCTTTTAACATTAAAACAATGATGACAACAACAACAAAAACTATTCTCCTTTTAGAAAACAAAACAACACTACAGTTTGAAAAGATTAAGTTCTGTGTATTCATTATCCATAAAGATAATGCATGGGTATAAATTTAAAACCTATGAACACTGGTAAGAATATAAACAAATTAGAAAAAGAAAAACTGTTCTCTTCTGCCCACTATGTTATACAAAGTATTATTTGAAATAATTTACTAGAAAATTAGACATACAGGATTTGAATTGCTTTATCTCCTCATAATAAGGAACTGCCAAGAGAGCTATCTTCATGATTCTGCTTAATAAATTCAACAAATATCCAAAGCCAAATTTTACAGATGATCCTGAAATTAACAGAAGAAGCAAACATCATTAACTGACTCTTCTGAAAAATTCTTTAGAAGAATACAGTAACAGAGATATGAGATAAGGGTCATTACAACCTCCACTGTTGCAAATATAACCTAGAGAGATTGTGAAATCTGCCCAAGGCTGGATTCAAATTCCACCAATCTGAGCTCAGATTGACTAAAAACTTTACTTCCACACTGCACGGATGACTGTTTTATTCTATGAAAAATATGAATCTTAATCATCACAACAATGCTTAGATTCACAATCTGGTACAACAAAAGAAACAAACGCAGGTATCATTATCTTGCTCATTATTTACTCCAAGGAAAAAGTCAACGAGTGAAAAGTATAGTTGAATTCATTTTTGTTGGTGTGCCTCCATTCTTCTGTTGGTCCTCTGCATTCATGGATTCAACCAACCATGGATTGATATAATATTTAGAAAAACATAATGTTGATAACATATAGTTCAGTCTAAGATAGCTATTGGTTGAGTCTACTATACATGTACAAACTTTTTTCCTTGTCATTCATTATAGTTAAACTATGGTTATCTGCGGATGGTATCAGGACCAGACTCTTGCAGATGACAAGACTTGACTATACAACAAGCAACAGGGTAGTTTTTATCTTAAAGGAGCATACTAGAGACCAGTGCAGAAAACAAACAAGTATAAATTGGCAGGCTCTCAAATGAACTACCACTCATTGAAACACTAAAACCCCAATCCACATTAAGAAAACACATATCAGGTGATTGCACCACTGACAAACAGAAAACTACTGGCCCATGGAATAGACTACATACACAATTACACATAAATACAAAACTATTTGGGTAAAACATAGAATCAAAAGCAAAATAACTCAGGTAATATATCTAAGAAAACAATGGAAAAGATTAAATGTCTTTTCACTTTTCAACAAATATTTATATTTGTTGATAACACCTAGTCCCCACCTCTTAAAATTTGAAAGAGGCAACTCAACTCTGAAAAACAAATTTTGAAATAAAAGCTACAGTTATCAAAGTATAAATCATACAAATTTGG